GGGCAAACATGACCGGAACCACAACATGGGACGCCCACGTCTCTTTCCACACTGGCAGCCAGATCGTCGGGAAGTCGACAAGGTCTGGGAGCGGCGAGATCGCGTTCAGGCGCTCACACAGGCCCAGCACCTCTGCCGCCGCAGTTCCGGGTCGGAACATCACTGCATCCTTGTACTCCCCAGGGAACTGGACGTGATCTGCGTCGATGGTCACAAAGGACGGGCTGCTGGCCCTCATTGCCGGCAACTGCGTGTTGCCCATGCCGCTGGCGATAAGGCCGCCCAGGGGATACCGCGGTGCATCGTCCTGCGCGTGGAGAGTCGCCGCTACGATCGCTCCCGGGACGCCCAGACTGTGACTGAGCAGGATGATGCAGTTGCAGTTGCTGGGTGCTCCGAGGTCGGACCAGATCTGGGGCAGAATGTATCGATGCAACCAGCGGCCGGTCTCCTGGTAGAAGTCGGTTCCCTCTGGAACCGGAAGAATTGAGCTTGTGCCCCCGTACGATGGACGGTCGATCGCCACGAACGGTACGCCCAAGGCCACGCTGGGGATTTGGGCAGAGTATGGGGCAATGCCCTGGAAATACTGGCTGTCGTAGCATCCACCATGAAGGGCGACAACCAGAGGACGGTAACGCAGATGCGATGCTGATGCTGGAGGGATTGACTGGAGGCCAGTTACAGTCCCACCGTTGGAGAGCTTGATGCGAAGCGGCTGCATGATGTTGGAGTGACTGGATAATCGGACTGGAAAAATTCGTTGGAATGGAGTATGGCGATGGTGACGAAGTCAAGCGCCAGAGATCCTATGAAATTAAGAGAACCACCTGTTCACGTGCGAAAATATGCAGAGTATCCTTAGACAGATCACGATGTCGGAGAAGAAGTGATTCTCATGGTGATTGCCGAGGTGATATCCAAGGTGATTTCCATAACTCCTTAGAGCCCGGCTCCGATGAGCGGCAAGCCGAGGGCAAGAATGCATTTTCGGATGTACAGTACGTACAATACAGCTCCGTGCAACACAGGTCGCTTACGCTCGTCAGCCTAGTGAATACACCAATGGCCAAAGAAATATCTTCATATCCTCCGTGATCGTCGTAGGCAAAGTCTTGCTTAGTACCAAGAGTAAAAACCCTCCGATCATTCTTCAAGAAAAAGATTCTGTCGGAAACTGCTTACCGCCGCTATCTCCGCGCCAACCCATCTTAACTCCGTGTCATGCTTCCTTTTCGCCAGGAACTGAATTGCAACATTCGTCCCCGATGAAATTGAACCCGTAGCGACCGTGGCCCTTAACTCCTAAAGCCGCTTACTCCACTCTCTCCACTTCCATCTACCTTGCTTTATACAATCTTTGTTGGCTTTGATGGGGTGAGACAGCACGCGGACCATCCAGGTCACGTGCGCTCCGAGTTCTTGGATACTGTTGTCCAACTTGGTAGGATGTTTTCCCTTTTCCTGCTATTCTACCTGATAACCAGATAAGTCAGGTTATCTCTACTGTACATTTTCATATTCCGTGATCTCTGGTGATTGTTCGTCCTCAGTTTCTCCGTATGCTGGGTTCATCCAACAGTGAAAATGAATTGCGCCCGACAAGGACTGAGCTTGAGTTAGGGTTCAACATCATACAGTAGACCCCTGTGCTATCAACAGCTAACTCAGGATAGTTCCTGGACAGGAAAGCCAAGTATTCCGCCTGCATAGCAATCGTCACCGGTCCCAGCACATTGACTCTACCTAAGCCCAGCCCGAAACGTTGAACACTTACCCAATGCCACCAACGTCAAGCCTCGCCGGTAATCGCTCTCTTGGTCAAAATGGCCGAGTCCTCATTCAGTCGATCCCAAGTGTGCGCATCGCGACAGGCTTGCCGACTCAGTCGCACTGCACGTCTCGTCCGAGACCGCATCTCCTCCTCGTACTCATCCAACGCCTCTTTCGCCCCTCGTCCCTCCGTGTACACCTGCCGCAGCGCCTGGGAGAGGTAGAAGGCGTCTAACAGTCCGTGGTTGGCCGCTTCTCCGCGATCTTATTGGTCAGAGACATGGCTTATAGTTGTCAACAGCGAACTTACACATGGTCATGGCATGGGCTGCATCGCCGGCCAGCGTGATTCGGCCGTCGCAGTTATCCCAGTTCAGACACTCCCAGTCCGCCAGTTTGATCTCCAGCACCGGCGTTCCAGAGGGTACGCCCTCCACGACCGACCGCAGAAATGGCACGAAGCCGACCGACCGTCGTTTCATATTGTCGAGTCGCTCTGCATCGGTAGCCGCCACTTCATCGGCCTCACTGTTTACCGGCCACGACATGCAGATCTGCGCCCGATAGCGCTCGCCGTCGGGGTTGCCCTGCGTGCCGTTGCTCTGGGGGGTTTCGAGCACAGAGAACCAGAAGAACACCCCTGTGCTGGGGTGGCAGCCCTGGAAGAGCAGCGGATCCATGGCCCGCAGGGGGCGGATCTCCTCCGGCGACAGATCTACAGCTACCCCCGTGAATCGGATGGGGAGGACGGAGTTGAGGTATGCGTCTGGTCGCAGGACGCGGCGCACGAGCGATCGACTGCCTTCGACCCCGATGACAAACCGTCCGGCCACACGCGTGCCCTCGGCGAGGACCAGGGCTGGAAGAGCCGTCCCTTGGGTCTCGATGTCGACCACTTGCGCATTCCACTGGACATGCTCTTCGATCCCGCGCAGCAACGCGCCCCGCATCTTCTCCCGATTGACCCGCCAGCGGGTGCTAGGGGGGATCTTGAACTTGGGGGCGCCGGTCGCGAGGTCGATGAAGAGGAAGTTCCCGTCGTCATGCTCGGCGACTTGCGGGTCCACCTGCACCGCTTGAATAGCTTGTAATGTGTCTTCGGAGAGGATCTGTTCGATGTATCCCAGGGCCCAATGTAGGGTGATGGCCCATCCTTGCCCTCGAGCATGCGGCGATGCATCCCGCTCGTAGATGCGGAAGGGGATATTGTTCTGAACGTTCTTTAGCACGCAGTAATGAAAGTAGCATCATGTAGGTACATCATCGACTGTACCTTCTTCAGAGCCTGACCAAGCGTCAGTCCGACGATGCCTGCGCCGACAATCAAAACAGGTTCCATGGCGATAGGGAGGATTGGGGGTTGATGATTCTTACGAGCCCCCGTGCCTGTCCTGCCCCTTGGCCAACCCCGCTTCATATAGTGAAAGTAGTTTCATCGACTGGGCTATCAGTCTCGTATCTGTCATTCCGTGCTATCGGGTAGCGTTTCGTCGGACCGTCGCATAGATAAGCGCAAATGCGGGGGTGGCTTGGCTGCACCGGTGATACGCCTCAGATTGCCGAGATGAGAGGGGAAATCGCAAGGGAAGAACGGTACCCTATCATATCACATTCTGCATGAGTATAGACGCGGAAATCGGCAATGGCTTTTCGTACAGTACTTGATTTAAGCCCACGGGAACCCGTTGGTTACACTCGAAGGCATCCAAACCCGCATCAAACACCGAATCCTCACCATGTCTCATGAAGCCCTAAACCCAATCCACCCGGCCGTCTTGCCGCATCTCGACCCTGCCTTTGTCGACCTCTACAATGAACATGTGGCTCACACTCCAAGCGGCCCAATTGATCTCGCCGTCCTTCGATCCAAGTATTCGGTTCTCTACTCCTACGGTACCGGTCCAGCACCGGAGCCTGCGCGTGTCTACGACACCACGATCCCAGGTCACGAGGGGAATCTGATTCCTTGCCGGGTGTATGAGCCCGACTGCCCTGGACCCTGGCCGGTCCACGTCGACTTCCACGGTGGTGGTGCGTCCTCTTCTCCTGAATGTAGCGTATCGAGTTCTGACTAGAGAATATAAGGACAGGCTGGGGCCTCGGCGACCTAGACACCGAATCGCACATCTGCAAGCACATCGCCGTCAAGGCGAGAGTGGCCGTCATCGACGTCGCCTACCGCCTGGTCCCCGAACACGCCTTCCCCATCGGCATCCAAGACTCCTTTGCCGCAGTGCAGCATCTGGCGTCGTCTGCCGGCCGTGCGCAGTTCCCCGGCCTCGACACCAACCGTCTCTCCCTCGGAGGCGTGTCCGCGGGGGGCAACATCGCGTTGATCCTCGCCCACCTGGCGCGCGACCACGGCATTCCCCTGCGGTTGGTGGCCGTGGGCACCCCGGTCATCGATGATATCTCCGCCTACCCGACGGCCGCCGACTCGCCGTTCCCGTCCATGCAGGCGATGGAGTTCGCGCCCACGCTGAACTGGGCGCGGTTGAAGTGGTTCGATGAGTTGAAATGGCGTAGTCTCAGCACAGAGGAGGACGTGCGCAAACAGCAGCTGGCCGAGGTGAAGTGGTATGCTGACGCTCTCAGCGCTCCAGACTTTACCGGGTTGGCGCGCACGGTCATCTACACGGCGGGCTGCGATCCGCTGCGGGATGAGGGCGAGGCCTATGCCCGGAAGCTGATCGAGGGAGGCTGTGAGGTGACGGTACGGCGGTTCGAGGGGGTGCCCCATCCGTTTATGCACATGGATAAGGGTGAGTTTCTTCCCTTCTTTCTGTTGCCCGTATGCAGATGTACCTGTCCGGTCGTGCTGACGCGAATGGAAACAGATCTCTGGCAGGCGCGAGAGTTTATTGATTTGATTGCTGGGCATGTGAAGACGGCGTTGCATGAAGTACAGTAGTTTATATCTAGGTTGTAAATCTCGCAATCCACACAAAAGAACAAATATTACAAGTTCAACCATCAATGGGCTTTATGGATCATCAATTATCTTTTCTGCAGATCAACGAGGAGAAGAAGAAGAAGAAGAAGAAGAAGAAGAAGAAGAAGAAGAAGAAGAAGGAGGAGGATCAGGAAAAGTAATATAGCAATAAGAGTGTAGTGGATACAAATAGACTGAAGGTAGCGATCTTGATCACAGCAATAATAGTTATTCTTGTATTTATGAAGATATAGTTCAGCGGTGATTTATCATTCAGATAGGTGGATATAGGTAACTATATCCTTGCGCCATCCTGGCCAGCCTCCATCGCATACAACTGTTCCACCAAAGGAACAATCGACTCGCGCAAGCTCCGAAACTGGACCCCGAGCATCTGCCTCACCTTGCCAGCATCGCAAGCGTAATGGGTGTCCCGTATCCTGTCCCCTGGACTCCCCTTTGGAACCCGCTCTCGAGCCGTGGGAATGGCCTCGCGCAGGAGGTCCGCAATCTCCTGTGTGTCGTACGCACCTTCAGTGACCAGAAACCGGTGGTGCGAGGGAAGGGCCGTCGTCAAGGCGTGAAGACAGGTCTCAGCTAGGTCTTGCACATCCACCCACACTATTCACCATAAAGAATCGAGATTAGTTCCGTTGTTGCACCATAGTGGGGGTTTCTTGGTCTATTCAGGAGCGAGGTAGGGCTTCTTACCCGGAGCCTTGGTGGGCGGGAGTGCATCTCGACCCCCCAGCGCCACCTCCCAGACGATCCGATTACTGGCGTTCAGCTGCTCCAGCGAGGCGATCGGATGGATCATTTCCCCAAACACCATTCCGGGACAAAGCGTCACCAGCTGGAAGTCCACCTCATGCTCTTTGACGTATGTCCAGGCGGCCCGTTCCGCGAGGACCTTGGATGCGCGGTATGCGATGGCCTAGGAGTCGTCAACACCATGCATCAGGAAGAAGGAAAGACAAAAAGTGAAGGCAAGGGAATGAAGAGCACATACCACATTCTCCGTGTCCCGCCCCTCCTCATACCCCAGCGGACTCCAGTCCTCCTCCGTATACACCCGACCAGGCTGCAAGCCCTGCGCCGCATCGTAGACCGCCGCGAACGAGGACATGATGACCAGCTTTCGTACGGTCGGACAACGCTGCGCCGCCTCGCACGCGACGGTCGTGCCCTGAATTGCAGGTAGCAGGAGTTGCTGCTCGAATTGTCCTGGTTGTGCGTCGTAGGTGAAGGCCGAGGCGAGGTGGAGGATGGCGTCGCAGCCGGCCACCGCGGGAGCGAATTGCCCCAGGTCGGTGGGGTCGGCCACCACGACAATTTCCAGGCGGTCCAGCGGGGCGACTCCGGCAGCATGTAGGGCAGCTACAGTGGCACTGGCTTTCTCCAAGGTGCGCACTGTTCCACGGACGGAGTGGCCGGCGCGCAGCAGGGCGGCGATGCAGTGCGCGGCGATGAAGCCGTTGGCTCCGGTGATGAGGGTGAGCATTTGTAGTGTAATCGAAGAACCAAGGACGGGGAGAGCTAGTCAAGTTAAAGACGGTGCAGAAAACCGTAAAAGAAGAGGGTGTCTACCGAATTGAAACTTGATATATATTCTACATGGCCAGCAATTATGGATACTGATTCTCCTTCCAGTATGGAAATCGTCCCGTCGCGTAGATTAGCAGATGGCTCTCCCTCCCCCCACAACCCCCCCGCGCGGTTCAAGCGGAGACGGAAGGCCTGATTGTGGATTGCCTCGGTCGCCATGGGTGTATCTTATTTTCCTTGATTTTTCTTGCTTATATCTTGGGACAAAGCGTGGTTTGTAGACCTGCTCTTCCGGAGGAATCATTAGCGGATGATGCCACTCGATTTATAAGTGTTCAATCTCATTCATGGGAACAAATACCTGAAGTAAGTTCTAATTCTTTTGCTGTCTGTTGACAACTCGACTTATCTAATTGTCGGAGGCCTACTATATTACAAGATTCTATTTCTTGTACGAACAAAGTACGTTTTAGGTCTTAAAAATGGGAGATTAGGGATAGAATAGCCTTTTCAGTCCTTTGTTAACTAGAAGAGCTTCTGTCTCGGGATCCTGCGTTGATAACTTCATCTTAAGAGTCCGAATCCACCATGATTTCCCTGGCAACTCCTAATATACATAACGAAAGTCAACCTCCTCGCCCCCTCGCCCAGCACCCTCCAGCTGTCGCTCAATGCGACTACCTGCAGCGTGCCCTAGTCGATTCGCCCGCGCGTTCCGACGGCCGTAGACCACCCGCAGCGTAGTGGAGATGACAATGGCACCGGCGTTGACGGCGACGATCGTGATCTTGGCGGGAATATACCTGTATCGGTTAGTAAAGTCGCCTTGACCAACGCAGAACAGGGAGAAGAGGAAGATGTTGGCAGTGACGTACTCTGGAGCATCGCGGGCTTGAAAGGTCTGCGGGCCGATGATGTTGGCGATGCTGAACCCGGCCGAGACGAGCGTACTCCCCGCCACCTGTTCTTACGGTCAACTCTTCTGCTGCTGCTGCTGCTGCTGCTGCTGCTGCTACTGTCATCTTGCGTATGGCTTACCTTCATACTGTAGCCCTTGTAGTTTGCACCAGTCCATGCGAAAATCAGTGCTAGCGGCGCGACAGTCTATGTCCAGGTCAGTAACCACCGATGAACCCTAATCCACCATCTCTCCGCCTAGGATAGCCTACCGTGTTTACCAGGTATATACCCGCCAGACAGCCGGCTTGATTTGAGGACGGCAGGAAAGACATTAAACACGCACCCAGCAAGGTGGGCAGTAGAAGCAGGTTAATCGCCAGCCACCGGGAGTAGCCCCGAGCAATGGCCAGGGTGGATCCCATGGTCGCCACGATGCTGACCACCCCAGAGGGCATGTTGAGCAGGGCGCTCTCTTGGGAGTTGTACCCGAACTCCTTGATCAGAATGGAGGAGAAGGTGGTGATGACGCCGCTGGGAATGGTGATCAGGATGGTCAAGAGGACGAGCAGGGCCGTTTGCAGATCGGCGAACGCTTCCAGAAACGACCTCGGGCGCAGGCCCTTCTCCCCCTCTACGCCACCAGCCTGCTCCTGTTGCAGCCGCTGGGCTACGCGGGCCTTGTCGCTGGCGCTCAGAAACCCCGCCGCGGCCGGAGTGACCGGGAGTACGAGGAGGACCAGCAGTGCCGCGAGAATGTTCACCCCCCCAATGACCACGAACATGATTCGCCACCCGTGGAAAGCGAGCGTGGGCGCGGTATGTTGCGCCGCGAAGGAGATCAACCCGCCGACTATCTGACCGGTGCCCAGGCCACAATACCACAGGCCGTATCGCGGGGTCGACTCAGCCCGCGTATACCACATGCTAGTATACATCGTCAGAGCAGGGGCTGCGTTGTGAAAGATGACCATTAGACCTCACTTCGTATGACATCAATGACAAGGGATTTCCGACGCACCAATGACCGCTTCCAGCGCCCCAAGGATCACTCTCAGTGACAACATCCCGGCGAAGTTCTGAGCCGCGGCCGAACAGCACAAGAGCACCCCCCAGCAGAGAATGTTGACTCCGAGCACCTTGGTGACCGGGTATCGTTGCAGCATGAAGCCTGCTTATCGTCAGCGACATGGCACAGGGCTGTGGGAGCAGCAGAAGGAGACGAGATTGCCCACCTTGGGGAATCTCAGCAACCGCATAAGCGATGAAGAACCCCGTAGCCAGCCAGGAGAAGTCATTGCCCTGCATTCCCAGATCATCCTGCATCCCCATCACGTTGGCATACTAACGTCATCACCCATCAGCAACCAGTATCCCGGCGAGACCACCCGGGAAACATACATTCAAAGCCACCTTGTCCAGAAACTGCAGCAAGTAGGTCAAGAACATCGTCGGCAGGATGCGCCAGTCGATCCGACGCAACAGGGCTTGGTCATCATGCAGATCGCCCAGGCCGTAGTCGACGGCGGCCAGCTTTTCCTCTTTGGTGTCCGTCATAGTGTATGCTGCGGTGATGGTAGCAGCATTGGAGGACTATTGAGCGCGGATGGCATGATGAGGGTGTTTAATAAAGGTCCATCGTTGTATCAGGATGAGGTATCAATGCTGGCTGTCTGTCACTGGGAGGCAACCAGTGCGATAAGCTTCCGACTAATCCTGCGGCCGTCGCATAGATAAACCCGCGAGATACGAGCCGTCGGCTGCACGATAAGGGTCGGGAGCATGATCGGTCCCATAGAATACGCTCGAGATACATTTATAACACAGCCTCAGAACTCGACCATGAGGCATAGAGACAAACCCCAGGGATAGTCATAACGAAATCTCGCTCTGTGAATCATTCAGGATGCCCTCCCGCACCGACTCCCCGCTGAATATCGCCATCATCGGCGCCGGCCTCGGTGGCCTCAGCGCAGCAGTGGCTTTACGTCGCCAGGGGCACCAAGTCACGGTGTACGAGCGATATGACTTCGCTGGCGAAGTGGGTGCATCTTTGAGCGCCGCATCCAATGGATCCCGCTTCCTGGAGCAATGGGGGGTCGATGTCAAGGCTGCGAAGCCGGTCAGTTTCCACCTTTTCGTGGTTTAGCCAAGACTCACAGCGAGGCACAGGTAATCCTAAAGAAACTCATCATGCACGACTGGACGACCGGGGAAGTACAGAAAGAATACGGCCTGGGGGACTACAAGGCCAAGTTCGGGACGGTCAGTCTGGCATCCAGACCCGCATAGCCCTAATGCCACTGACAGGAACCCCATCAGGAGTACAACAATTTCCACCGGATTGACATCCACCAACAATTACTCCGCTCCGCCTTCGAGAAGCCCGGGGAGGGCCCCCAATGCATGTTGAAAGTGAATCACAAGGCCGTGTCGCTGGACGCAGAGGCCGGTCGCATTGAGTTCGAGAATGGCGAGACGGCGTCGGCGGACCTCATCGTCGCCGCAGATGGCATTCGCGTACACATCCCCTCTCTGACACTCCGTGTCCAGTCTAATACAGAGACTCTAATTCCTTCTAATATAGTCCGAGAGCCGCCTTCACATGGGAATCACCCCCGATTTCACCATGTCGACTTCCTGCTGCTACCGCTGCATCATCAGCGCGGATAAGCTGCGCAGCCTCGGGCTGGACGACTACATCGACAACGCCGCGATTGAGTACTGGGGGGGCATTGGGATCAACAAGATCGTTATGTCCCCCTGCAGCGACGGGGACGTCGTCAGCTGCTACTGCTTTTATCCGGCCGAGCACAACAATCTCCGGGAAGACGGCTGGAACATCTCCGCCACCCCGGAGCAGTTGGTGGCCACGTTTCCGGGGCTGGATGAACGGATGCAGCGGTTGCTGCTCAATGCTGAGGACATCAAGATGTGGCGCTGTAAGACCCCCACGCCCCTCCGTTATCTCTCTTTCATCTATTGGGCTGAAGGAAACCAATGGCTGATTTCGACCAGTGTACCGTCACCAGCCGTACCCCTACTGGGTCAACGGCAAAGTCTGCCTACTCGGAGACGCAGCTCACCCGATGATGCCCGACCAATCGCAGGGCTCATGCATGGCATTTGAGGACGCGGGGGCCTTGGGGCTGATCTTCCATCGCACCTTCGCCGAGGAGTACAGCCTAGCCGAGGGACTGCAGCTGTACGAGCGGCTGCGCAAGCCCCGTGCCACCCACATTCAAGCCGCCAGCTATCGAGCCCGCGAGGACCTCAACGAGCGCATCGGGTGGAGCTCCTCCACGGACCGGCCGGGCAAGTTGACTATTGAGGAGGTCTGTGGGTACAATATGCAGGTGCACCTAGAGGAGCTCAAGTGCACTAAATAGGGGGAAGAGAATCAGATGTATATATCAAGTTCCATTTTTTGTATCGACTATAAACAAGGTTAAACGCAGTACATTCGAAGTGTCATGTAACTGACTCAGCAGGAAGCTCGATCCGAGCAGTCAAACGAACACCATCCCTGGATACAGACTATAGCGGACGCTGGCCCAATTCGCGTCCGCCCGGTCGTCCGCCCAGACGGCTTCGAGCAGCTGCCGCGCTTGCAGGATATGCCCCCAGCCCAAGGTGTTCTCCATCACCATCAGTCGCTCCTTGATGCCCATCCGTTGCTCCATGCTGCGGCTGCTGGCTCCGGCAATCACCAGTGGGAAGAGCAGACTGCCCTCGACAGGGCTGCCGTAGGGAATGGCCCGCCCCGCGGCTACGATGCCAGTGACGGCCTGCTCGACCTCTGCATGGTGGGGATCGTAGCCGTCGACGATCTGATGCAGTCGTAAGCGGATCGCGCACTCAAAGGCGCGCGTGGCCAGATGCTCTACTTCACTGCCCGGGTGGACTGCTTCGTACTCCCGGCGCCAGGTGTCCAGGTGGGCGCGTACATGTGCAGCGGCCGTCCGGAACCCGATTTCTGACAGGTCGTCAATGCGTCGGCTGCGGTGCGCTGCCAAAAGATTAACCCGACCGAGAGACTCCAGTAAGCTCGTAGGGAGTCCAGATATCGTGTCCCCTGATGATGACGACGTGCTGGTGGCGGCGGCGGGGAGATAGGATGGGAGAGATGATCCCAAAGTAAGATCAGTCAGGCGCTCGCCTGCCCGTAACAGCGGGGGTTTACACCGGGAGATGGTGGACATGGAGTCTAGGTAGTGGAAGAGCTGAAGACAGAACATGCCTTCGCCGCTGGAGGCAAACCGGTGCCGATCGATCGTGCTGAGTAGGCGCCCGGCGGCTTTGAGGTGCCACTTCCAGGCGCGAGAGGTGCCCTCGAACAGCTCCGTAAGACACAGCAGGAGGATGGTAGTGCAGGCTTCAAGGAAGGATTGCCGATTCGGTCGGCGACTGAGCAGATTGTTGACTTGCGACAAGGCTGTTATGGTCAGTCTGTTACAAATGATACATCAACCAGAACTGAATGTCGTTGTTATGGTTGTCGATAATAGTAGGGATGATACTAGGTAGACTTACCCCGTCCTTGTCGCGTTAGGGCTCGATTCCAGATTTGGGGGTAGACGCGACGCCAGTGGCAGCCACTCAGCCCTAAGAGGGCGCTGGTGAGCGTCTCCGAGGCGGCGGCCATGGGAAGCAACGTCGCCAGAAATGGGTTGGCGGTGGCTCTCGTCGTGGACCGTGACAGGGCCCGGGCCACATTTTGGACATAGTGGTTGAAGAGACAGCGATCGTCGTCATTGTGCAGGTGGGCGTTGAGCCCGCTGTCTGGGGGTGGCGAGACGGGCCCGAGGATCATCTCCACATCGACCCAGGAGGGCGAAAAAGGCGATATCGGATCATCGCCGACGGATGATAGGAGATGATCGGAAAGGGGAATCGGATCCGACACGGAAGACAGGATGAGGTCGTGCGCAGTTTCGGATAAGGGCATCATCCCAGGAGGCGACGGCAGCGGGGAGACGATCGCTGGTGGCGGAGACCGTGTCCTGGGGGCTTTCCAGTGACATGGTAGGTTCAACCGATGACAGTCGCTACATCGAGGTCTTTTCTCATCGCACTTCTTCTTCCTATTGGCTGGCAGTTAGCACGGTGGGCATGCTCATGATGGATGCAGTATCTATCCTCTGACCGCGCCTTGCAGGAGACACATCCATCCCGGGACCGGGAGGCTCTGGGCCGGCGATAAGCCAGCGACTGGGCTTCAGAATTCGGCCTCCCGGTTTGTTGGGGCTCGCAAATATGACCAAGGCCTGGTTAGTCAGTACTCAAGCACCCCATGGGTTCAAAGAGGTGCAAGCATACGTGCGCAGCGAGAGCAGGGCGAGGCACCGTCACAGCGTTGTTTCTGTGCCAAGTCACCCTAAGATCAGTCTCGGATGGGGGCAGCCAGCCGGGGAGAGACTCACAATCACTGCGCATCGAGCGCAGACACGGCCCGAGGCAGTCATAGTATCACAAAGTACAGCACTTGGGGAGAGAGAGTAGATGCGACGGAGGAGGGGAGTCACGGCGGAAGGGTTATCAGTTATCAGGGCGGACGCGACGGGGAGGGGGTTCGATAAGCGGTCGAGTCAACGAATCCTACTGATAACCGAGGCGGGGAGGAGTATCTACATCATAGCTGGCTGAAAATCAATGCGACTGCCAATTCCTTGCACTGTTTAGCGGTTCAACGAGTTGATATCCCCGCTAATCCAGGCAAGGTTGAATCTGGGCTGGAAATGCGGGGAAGTGAAGGGCCACGTTGAACATCAGTCCGCGGGTAACCTTTGTTTCTCGTCAACTGCTGGGGAGGGGGTGCGAACAAGGGATTGTTTGTGACTTAGTATGGCTGACTTGAGGTGCAATTGTCTTCTGTATCCATGATCCGTGGCAAAAGTCAGCTGGATCAACTCCGTAGTGTGGAGTGAGTGCCATCCTGGGTGTATGGGTGTATCGATGCCACGTGATCCATGCTGCCCGCAGATGGGATTTCACTTCATGAGAGAACTATCAATTCATACCGTCAGCTGTCATGTCCAGAGGACATATAGCACAGGTACTCCATATATTCCCAACCCTGAATCGGCACGGCAGTCGCAACAGCAGCTGAAGCCGTGACGACGAGGTCTCTTTTTGTCGATGGTTGCGCGGAGACGCGGGGGTCCACTTCAACCGCCACAATCCACACCTAAGGACCCCTAGGACCACTATTCACACATGTACTAACTTGATGCCGGATATGGCTGTGCCGCCTGTTTCCGAAGCCCCGAGTCGTATTAGGTGGATCACCCCGCGCTGGTCCGCCAATCCACGGTGGTCGAGACTCTAGAGTCGCTCCGTCTTCGGCTAAGCCCAAGGCCGCCGGCGGGTTTTCCAAGATTGACTGCAAATTACCCCAACTGCAGGTACTGTCTGGTTCCATCCCCGATTTTCTTTTGATTGTGCCTAGCTACCCATGAACGAGGAAACATGACAGGCCACGCTGCCACTCGAGGCGTGATATCTCCGCCCAACCCCTCCATGGGATCGGGTTCGGTGCCGAAAAAATATGTGACGAGGTAGATTCAACCCGAGGGGGCACACCCACTTATCTTACAGTGACAGGCTGACTAGAAACACATGCAGGGCCTGTGATGCATGCAAGAAACGAAAGTCCAAATGTGATGGCCTAGAGGTTCGTCCAGACCCCGATACCGCCATCTGTTGATTCCATGCCCTAACTTGCTTCGTGGCTAACACTGATTGCGGCTGGGCAGCCGTGTGCTCGATGCATTAAATCTCGCATCGGTCGGTATTCAGCCTCGTGCCCCAGTTTACCATCGCTGTGTGGCGCATCAACTCACCCATCGACAATTCGCTTTAGAGTGTGCCTACAGGACTCTTTACAATCGGGGCTCTTGGCGCCATTTAGTACGTGTTCAAAACCATCAACACCCTCAACCCCCAGTGCATACTAATCTCAGACAACAGAGACGCAAGTTGCCCGTACAGCCGTCTTCTACGGCTGCTACAACGGCGGACTTGACCCTGCCTGCAGAAGGCAACCTTACCTTGTCTCATCCCGCGGAGCCCACCGTCGAGGGGGTCGAGGAGTCGACCGAGAACGAAAACGCCGTGATTTCTGCCGGCGATGCGAGCGTCCATAACTTCTTGCACAAGGTCTCGGAGCATCTCACGCTTATCGGTCAAGCACTACCCCGGAACCTGCTCCGGTGGGAAGAGGAAATCTTGAACACCGTCGGGGATCGGTCCACCTTCGTGTTTCCGCCTCGAGACACGGCCAGGGAGTATCTCAATTGCTACTTCGAACACGCCAATGTCACATATCGCTATCTTCTCCGCACCGAAACGTTTGCGATCCTCGATCGGGTCTATGACGATGACGAGGCCGTTTTTGAGCACCCTGCGACCATAGCCATCTTGCTTTTCGCCATGGGCGTTGGGTGAGGGCTCTATCGTAGTCCCGCGCATGGCTCCCCCACTAACCCTCACCGCAGGTGCATTTGGTTGGCATCCCGCCACAGTCGGCCATTGACGAAGCAGAAATCGAAATCGTCAGTCCCCCCCTCTCCCCCTTTGTTTCCAGGGATCCAGAGGAAGCTACTAACTTCATGACGTAAGAAATCACTTGCTGCAAGCAGGCCAGACGTGGCTAGATAAGACGCTGGGCAAATTTCCTCCGACCTTGAATATGATTAAAGCCACCGTGCTCAAGGTAGTTGAGCTCACCTTATCTTTCTTCTCGACGAGACTGCTGATTTTCACTTGTGCTCTAGTGTCAACTGGAATGCGCGGCAAGCCGTCACAACAGCGCATGGATGACGCTAGGCATGGCTGTTCGACTCGGCCAAATCATCGGCATCGAGAGAGAAGTCGCTTCGACCGGCCCTTCGGAGCAATTCTCCCGGAAGGGTGTTTTCTGGGCCATGTATATGCTGGATCGGTAAGGCAAAGCGGTCCACCCAGGGCGAATTGGTGAATTGGCGCTGACAATACATAAGATATCTGTCTGTCTCGCTTGGCCGACCCATGGCCATCCGCGATGAGGACATCACCATTGCTTGCCCGACGGACCTCGACCATGAGACAATTACCCTGCTTGGACCGCAAGAGACCAAAGTGTGGTTGGGAGTCGTCGCCCATGCGAGGTGAGTAGTCGCTTTCACTTCTGGACCAGGTCCTACCCCGGCCGAAAGTGGATCGTGTGGTTGACGACTTCCTGATGTTCCCCCAGACTCACACGTATAATCGGCTGTACTATCACGCGACTGTACCCAGCATCCAAGCACCTGTCCGACGATGCACGCGATCGAGCTGTCACCGAATTGGAGCGGGATTTGCAGGAATGGGAGAACCAGACCCCATCGTTCTTCCTTCCTCCAGAGCAAGAACCCTTGGCGGGCTCGCAGCATGACTTCTATGCCATCCCTTGGATCTTCCAGCGGCAGCAGAAGACCATCACCGCGGCCTATCACTTTACATGCATCCTGATGTATCGTGGTGATCTTCTCCGGGAATTCCTCCATCACGAACCTGGCACGCCGGCCCCATCGCAGCCCAGCTCCGCGCGAATTCGCCACTGCGTGAATCATGCCATGGCGATTGCCCGCATCGCCGCCAACATTGCTGACGACAGCACATACAACGGGGTGTATTGGGTGAGTCTGCTCCCCCGAGGATAGACTTAGTCTGCTTTGGCCGGGGGCCGCTGGCCCGGAAGCACGCCGTTTCTAATGCCACCCGCCGCAGACTACTTCTCATTTTGTCTTCTGTGCCATTTCCGTGCTCCTGGTGTACCTGGCTTTGTATCACGCGGCCGAGGACCGTGGCGCGATCGAAGAGATGGTGGAGAAGGCGATGAAGGGCCATCGAAAGCTGGACAGCAGCTACAACTTTCGCACGCAGCGATTGCTTGAGGCAGGTCCCCCGCTCCCTCCCTGAACGACTATTCTCCTTCCTTTCGCATAAAACTGATCTGGGTGTTCTTGGTTGTCGGCAGGAGTCACGGACGAGAACACAGAACGCCAGCGACATGGTCACGCCTGTGGACCGACCGCGCACCCCGATCCCGACAGAGTCCGGCCAAGTGCCGCCCGTGGTGTCAGGGTCATCAGCGCAGCTGAAGGGGTCACGATTCACATTGGGCATGGCGTCCGACACGGAAGTGGCACCAGTGATGGCGCCATGGTATCAGGACGATGTTTCCGGAGCACCAAATGAGGCCGCGCCCTGGGCGTTTTCGGTAAGGTCAAGCACAAGACGTCGAGGCGTGAAGTGCAAACATTCTGCTTGCGAAGGTTCTGCTAACTTGCTGATCTGGAGCAGGGTCTCGTGCCGGCGAATCCACCCCCTTCCACAGGCCTGGGCCTCACTCCCGGGTGGGATATGATCATGGACATAGGGTTCGATGACGCCGTCTCGGCCGAGTTCTCGGAATGGGTGCAAGGGAGCATGGCACCGGCGAACCGGTGATTAGCAGCCAAGTACTGTAGTTACGTAGAAACAGCTTACGAAGACGTACGCTATATTGGCCTCATCTATTGTCATATCATCATCAATCCATGATACTCTGCCTAGGCGTACATCTGGCTATCTTGTCGCTATTGTACACAATGACCCTGCTTAGCCAGTGGAGGAGGTGATACCACCGTCCACCACAATCTTCTGGCCCGTGATATATCTACTGGCGCCGGATGCCAGGAACGCTGCCGTCGTGGCGACGTCAAAGGAATCACCCATACGACCCATCGGCACAGCCTTGTTACGCTTGGCCTTGAAGCCCTCCAGATCCCCGCCGGCATACTTGTCCGCCAGCATGCCGACTAAGGGTGTGTTCATCAGACCCGGCACGACCACGTTGATGCGGATGTTCTTGGCTGCGTACAAAACGGCGGTGGCCTTGGTAAACTGGATGACCGCAGCCTTGGTGGCGGCGTAGGCGACCTGGGGCTTGCCGATGTAACGCATCCCCGCGATCGAGGCGACGTTGACCACGACCCCGGAGCCTTGCTTTTCCATCAGGGGGAGAATGTGGTGGCAACACAGGTACACGGACTTGAGGTTGATGTTGGTCTGCGCGTCCCAGACACGCTCTACCATCTCCGCCGGGCCACCGGGCTCGGAGCGACCCACATTGCTACGACGAGCTCCAAGTCAGCGCTCCGTCCGGGATCGAAGGAAGGAAGCCGAAATGGAACTTACTTGACCAAGATGTCGATGCGGCCGTACTTGGCAATACAAGCCTCGATGGCAGCCTTGACCGATGCGTCGCTGGTGACATCGGCCGTGGTGACCGTGATGTCACCCCCTTCGGCAGCGATCCGACGCTGAGTGTGCTCTGCAGCCTCGAGGTAAAGATCACAGCCGAAGATTTTGGCCCCGTTGGCGGCGAGTACGCGAGCAGTGGCGGCACCGTTGCCCCACATGCTCTGATCCCCAGACTGACCAATGCCCGTCACTTGAAGATGATGATGCCAGGTGGTCAGTTGGGCTTGCCCGTTGCTACTGCCGAAGAGGACGCAGGGACTTACAGAACACAACCTTGTTCTTGAGGTCGGGATAGACCGCCGTGACATAGTCTTCCACCGTGCCGGTCATTTTGCTGCCGTCTGCTGCCGTCTGCTGCTGTTGATTCGTTGTATGGATTGATTTGTTGTAGGTCGAGTCTTGTGAATTTGTCCCGTGTAAGAAGGAATGATATTGTGCTGGGGATACTAAGTGGTGAATGACTCGGCAAGACTCCCTCCTGCACACATTTATAGCTTTCTAGATAGACTGTAAATGCCCATTCAATATTGGGGGGCGGGGCGCCGACAAGCCGTGGGCGGAGAATCACCCATCGGAATTGCTTCTATTAGCGTCGGAAATTGATTGCCGGGAAGTTATCAGGTTATCCCGGTATCGCAATAAGACTGACTGACTTCATGTTGGCGGAATTGACCTGGCCCCCGCAAGGTTTCCACGTTCAGGGTTCCACATTCAGGTGGAATTCCAGGTTCAGGTTCCCATCTATCACATTCGAATGGACAGGCCCGCAAGCGGTGTGACCAGTGGGGAGACTCAGCAAGCTAGCCCTAATACTTGGGTTCCTCCCGGAGTCGCCCCGCTGGCTCGCCATGAGGAACCAAAGCGACCAGGCCAAAAGTGTGATCTCGGCTCTCAAGGGCCTCCTGGAGAACAGCGCCGAGGTGGACGCCGAGCTGACGGGCATCGAACACTCGCTCGAGTCGACCAGCACGGAAAAACTGTCCAATATCTTGAGGAATGGCGAGGATAAGCTGGGCTACAGATTCTTTCTGTGCATGCTCCTTCAGTTCTACCAGCAATGGTCGTAAGTGCCTGCGTAGATCGACCATTCCATCCTTTGAAATCCTTCCACGAGTCCGAGCTGATGAGTATCTCTGGTGATCTTCACCCCCTTCTACAGTGGCACGAATCTCGTCAGCGTGTATATGCCCATCATCTTCCAAACGAATCTGGGCATGAGCGCCGAGTTGTCCAAGATCCTTAGCGCCTCCGCTCTGACCTGGAAGTTCATCTCCTCGTTTGCCTCCTTCTTCTGCATCGACCGCTTCGGACGCCAGGCGCTGTTCATGATCTCCGGCGCCGGCATGTCGACCTGCATGGTTGTGCTCGCCATCGCGACTTCGTTCCCCAGCAGCAACCACTCAGCCCAAATCGCCGCCGGGTTCTTTCTGTTCCTGTTCAGCACTTTCGTGCCGATTGGTTTTCTCGGGGCCAATTTCCTATATCCCACGGAGATTGCGCCCATCCGCCTTCGTGTGGCCATGTCGTCGATTTCGGTCGCGCATCACTGGATGTGGTAAGTCGACGGTGCCTGCAAACTGCAGCCCGGCCCAATGCTTGGTGAACTGACTCGGTTTCCCGCGGGGATTCCTGTTCGGGGGTTCAGGGCTTTTGCCTGGACGACGAATATATGAACCTATGAACCACGGGCACTTTCCGTGGACGATTTCTCCCATAGCTACCTTAAGTCTCAGTCCTCTTTGCCCGTTCCATGCAACCCGCGATCCTCATGCTATCTGCAGCTCGACTTTTCTGCCTGGCCCAATTCGTCAGCGCGTCCCTTACCGTCCCGGACCTGGCTCAAATCATCGACCAGGCCAGTTTCAACTTCCTGCCCACCGTAACGCCCACAGACCTCACGAATGACAGCCTGGTCTTTCAGCCGCCGGGGGTGCCTGAAGCCGACCTAGCGGCCAAGCCCTTTCACATCTATGACGAGGAGTTTCTCTCCATCCTGGGCGACAACCCCACCTTGACACTGATTGCGGAGAGTGCCTCAAATCCCTTGTATCATGAGGCTGTCGTGTGGTGAGGCCACTCAGGGTTTCCTCACCACGGATTGGAATGGAGTGGCTAATGACCAACCCCGTAGGAACCCGCCGACGGACGAAGTCTTCTTCGTTCAGAGTGCTGGTGGCACAGGCTCCGGCACCGGCTTAAATAAGTCTGCCATTATTCAAAAGATCAGTGTGCCTCAGGCGGCAGCTGTCTCACATCTTCGAAATGCCTCTGGCCTGGTCAATGTCACGGTCGTGCCCTCCACGCCTACTGTGATCAACCCCAACGGAGGGACATATTACAAGGGCAATCTTCTCTACGTTACAGAGGGCCAAGGCAAAAGTGTACCGCCCGCATTGTACCTGATGAATCCGCAAGCGCCATACAACACCACCATCATCCTGAACAACTATTTCAACCGGCAATTCAACTCGCTCAACGACATCGCGGTCCACCCGGTCAACGGCGAGATCTATTTCACCGATTCCCTCTACGGTTATTTGCAAGACTTCCGACCAGCGCCTACCATCCGGAATCAAGTGTACCGCTTCAATCCCAAGACTGGAGCCGTGTCAGTCGTGGCGGACGGCTTTGACTTGCCAAATGGTCATTCATCCTGGCCCCCTTTCGAACCACTCATCAACTTACCAGAGTTTCGATAGGCTTGGTTTTCTCGCCAGATGGGAGATATGCCTACGTGACGGACACGGGTGACAAGCAAGGGCTGCGCGGCACTGATAGTCTCGCCCCCGCTACCATGTAAGCAATCACCCTACCGTGGGCACCCGAACTGGCGCTGATGAACCCTAGATATCGGTATAACGTCCAGGGTGATGGTACGTTGGAGAATCGGAAGGTCTTTGCTTTCGCAGGTTCCGGACATCCCGATGGTGAGTTGCTCCGTTTCTTGGTCGGCTCTGTGTTGCATTCTCATTCTCACTTAGGCATCCACTGCGACTCCAAGGGCAACGTATGGTCTGGCTGCGGCGATGGGGTCAACGTGTGGAGCCCCGCCGGGAAACTCCTGGGGAAGATATATATGGGCGGTTTCCGAACGGCGAACTTTCAATTCGCCGGAAAGGGTTGCTTGATTATCACCGCCGAGACGCGCCTCTACTATGCAACCCTGAGCGCGTCAGGAACTCGACTGACATAGAGCCCTGCTTTGCCTGCACCATGAAACCATGAAATTGAAGCCGGAACAGTGGGAGTTACTGATGGAGCTTGGCCAACGCATAGTATGTACTAGGTAGGGGTAGGTGAAGGTGGATACGCACCCTCTCTGTTGAGGGTTGAGGTTGAGAAGCAAAAAGCTCAACCGTTGAGCCCGAATTCCGATTCCGATGTCGGTCGGAACTCGGAATCACAGCTCCCCGCCTCCAGGTCAGGTTGTAGATATCATGATTACTAGAAGAAGGTCAGGTTAACTAACGAGTAAGTGAGTAGGATTCATAATTTCATACATAACTCCCTACTCGTATACCGTAGGGACAAATTCCGATGAACCCCACAAGTGTGTGGCAAGTTATAACTCGGTCACTCACAACTACTCGCACTGGGCAGCGTCCTGCCATGGCCTCTCGTGATGTAACCAGTGCCTAACCAGTGCCCGGGATTGAATCATGTAACTGCGTGTTCTCACCCTTCGAGCGTGGGATTCGATGACCTCTCAGTAATTCTATTTGTTCTGGCGGATTGTGCCGTCTTCCTAGGTGCTTTCTAGGCCTTGCCGGCCGACTTGAACACCTCCACCATGAGCCGCTCCACGCCCTGCGAATAGATCTCGACGCCCTGAGTCTGCAGCGTGGTGAGCTCGACCTTGGCTGCGTTCTCCTCTATGTACTGGTGGTACCCATTCCGCACATTCCGGTTCTGGTTGACCTTGACCATTCCATGGTCCATGGCGACCTGCACCATTTTGTCCGAGAGCGGATGCGTGCCATGCAGGACCAAGGGTGTCTCGTCACCCACGGCCTTGTGGATCTTCTCTAGCCTATACACGGGTCAACATCTCAGACTAGGGATTTAGTCTAGGGCAGGTCATGGCCCACCGGTCCAATTGCCAGTGCTTCTCCGCACCACCCGGGGGGTACGGTCCGTGGACATTGCCGAAGCTGGGGGCGAGGAAGTGCACCCCGGTCTCCTTGACGAATTGGGCCGCCTTCTCGGGGTCGGTCCAGACGGTCTCCAGGTCAATGGTCGGCAACCCATCTTCTCCTCCCTCCATTCGCCCGAGCTCCGCCTCGATGGTGATACCCTTAGCTTTGGCGCGGTCCACGACCGACTTGACATAGGCAATGCTCTCCGCCTCATCGAATAGCGAGCCGTCGACCATGATGGAGTCAAAAGCGCACTCGAGCGCCTGGTCAGCATCCTCGGGCTTGAGACAATGGTCCAGGTGAACTGAGATGGGGACCGAAGCCTTGTGCGCCACATCTGCGGCGTACCTGATGAACTCGGGACCCTGGAAGTGCATGGTCCATGGGAAGAACTGGATCATCGCCGGGGATCGGCATCGCTCGGCCGCCTTGATAACGGCTAGCACACCTTCGGTGTTGTAGCTGCTCGAAAGCCACGATCAGCATTCCCAACTGCTCACGCCGGGGAGGGGTGCAGGCCACGTCAACTCACACGCAGAAGCCTCCGACCGCATATCCACCCTTCCTGGCATTGTGAATGATTTGCCAGGTGCGATTGGACGCAGGGTACTCTGCACTGGAAGACATGTTGGCAGCTCGTATCGAATGCGTCAGTTGCTAGCAGGAAGACGGGTGTGTGCTGAAGGTTGGCTGTAAGCTGTAGTGTCAGAGTTACTCCTTTTTGTGGCTGGCCCTTTGATGTGGAAGCCATCTGTGACTCTTTTCGGAATGCTTCTTGTATGGTTCTTCTCGGATTTCCCACCCGAGCGGCTTTTCCGATTCCGACGACCAGCTGACCTTTTCCGACCACCCCGAGGAAGGCGAAGCGAATTCAAATTCCGACACCTCCGAATAGTGCATGTCTTTTTCCTGGTGATCACTGCCCCACGAGGCCACCGAAACAGACACCGAACCGACCCCGCATTTCGGCCTTCTCGACCGGGGGGGGGGGGGTTGCACGGGTGCGAACTAAGGAACTAAGCATGTCGAAGCGCGTGTTCACTTTGGTCGACGGACGGTCCAGACCACGACAGCTGCTCCATAGCTTCGTATTGATCCATTTACAGATGCTTCGGATGCTCTGGCCTGATTTCCGCCTCTCGGAAACAGGACCTCCCCTCTCACGGCGGCGATGTCTTGCGATTCAGGCTATGGCATGGCTGTCGCAATCTGGGTAGTAGTTAAGGTTGTGTCCACACCCAACTGTGCTACAGTGTCATGCAGTCATCCTACACCACCGGTGCAATGTCCCGCAGACACTTTATCGACGGCGATCATACCGAAAATGTCGTGCAAGACGCCCTGGAGAGCCTAAGGCTGCTGCACCCTGGCCTGATTGTCGACCGGGAAAACAAGAGTACGTTCGGACCTGTTGAGTGCCCTTTCAGTGCCCTTGCAGTGCCAATTCACATCGAGACTATGGAGGCTAACCGATATGTGTAGCGGTCTACGACGCCTCCCACAACCATGACCAGTGCGTCTCGGTCATCTCGGGGGGTGGCGCTGGCCATGAGCCTGCGCATGTCATGTTTGTCGGCAGCGGCATGCTGGCCGCCGCGGTATCGGGCAATATCTTCGCTTCGCCGAACGTGCAGCAGGTCTTCAAGTGCGGCCAGGCCGTGCAGGGCTCGGCGGGGACTATTCTCATCATCAAGAACTACACGGGCGATGTTTTCCATTTTCATCAGGCCGCAGAGAAGCTGCGCTCCCGGCTCGGGATGAGGATCGAGGTCGTGGTGGTGGCCGATGATGTCGCGGTGGGCCGAAAGAAGGGCGGCAAAGTCGGACGCCGTGGTCTGGCCGGCAGCGTCCTGATGCACAAGATCCTCGGCGCCATGTCCGCCGCTCAACAACCCCTCCAGCGTTGTCTGGACATGGCGCGCGCGGTCAATGAGGGGCTTGCCACTATGGCGGTGTCGCTGGACTATGTCCGCATCCCCGGTACTGCCTGCGATGCAGCAGAGCCAGCCATCCTACGGAATGACATTGAGCTCGGCATGGGAATTCACAACGAGCCCGGCGTGGAACGTATCACGGGCCCCCAGCCTGATATTATCACCATCGTCGACCGCATGCTCGCCTACCTGCTCGATACAGAAGATACTGACAGAGCATTTGTCAACTTCGACGGCGCCGAACATGTGGTACTCATGATCAACAACCTGGGCGCTCTATCGGTCTTGGAGCTCTCAGCCATCACATTCCACGTCAGCAAGCGGCTCGGTCAGTCTGGGCTCTCATCTTCCGCGTCTGCGATGTGCGTTAACGTGTGCCGATAGGTATCCGCGGCATAACACCCGCAAGGACATATAGTGGCACATATATGTCAAGTCTGAACGGACCTGGCTTCAGTATCACCCTGCTCCGCGCCACTCCCGAGATGCTGATATACCTTGATGCCCCCACGTCTGCTCTTGGCTGGCTGCCGTCACCACCGCCGCTGCTACTGGAGAGCATGGTCGCGAGTCGCCTCCCTAGCCCCCTCCACTCCCCACCGGTCGATACCCTGTCTGCACAGGATGAACTCGGCAGTCAGACTTCGACGGGTCCTACCGGTATGTTCACATCTCGCGCAAATTGCTCTTGCTGCTGCCTTGGAGCTCAGTACAATAACACTCACTCTCTCTAGTTGACGTTGACTTGCTCCGCTCCGTCGTGCTCAGCGCTTGCGCCTCCGCTATGGCTGTTGAACCCGAGATCACGCGTTTCGATACCATTGTCGGCGACGGCGACTGCGGCATCACCTTGCGTCGTGGCTGCCAGGCAGTGCAGAAGGCGCTCGGCATCCCGGCCAGTGGCGGCGACCAGTCCACAGCTTTCCAGTGGCTGCTACGCATCGCCCACGCTGTGGAGGAGAGCATGGATGGTACCTCGGGCGCCATCTACGGATTGTTCTTCGACGGCCTGGCCTCGAGTGTTCGTGCTATGCAGGGCACCGAGACGATGACAGTGGAGCAGTGGACGACGGCGGCACAGGATGCTCTCAAGGCGGTGCAGCGTGTGACACCCGCGCGGTCGGGCGACAGAACCCTCATGGATGCCTTGGAACCGTTTGTCGAGGCGTTGTCAGCTGGCTCGGGCGGGCTCGAGGCCGCTGTCAAGGCTGCCGTCCGCGGTGCAGAGAAGACCAAGGGGATGCGTCCGGCATTTGGACGGGCGGTATACGTGAACGAAGTGGGTTGGGAAGTCGTGCCGGACCCGGGGGCAATGGGAGTCGTCGCACTCGTCCAGGGGTTGGCGAAAGGGGTGGCTGCTGTCCACGCCCAGCGGTCCTTGCTGTAGATCGCCGAACCGCAGCCAGCTTCGATTCAACTTTATAACTATTCTTATGATAATTGGTCGGGTTCTAAATCAATATACCCTGTTCTTTGCCCCAGGCCTTTTACAATCGAAATACGTATAAACACTATGATTCCAGATTATTCTACAGCAGACAGGTCAACAAACTTGCCCTATCTATTCATCAACGGCACACCGGGCAGCCGTCTTGATCGATGGCCTGGCTTGCCGTCAGCAAAGAAGCGGTGTCTGTAGATCATGGATAGGGAATGCACAGCACATAAACCCGCTACGAGGAGGCAGCGTGACAAGGTCTTGGTGACTGTCGAGCTTGAATCTTCGCTGTCTCATGGTACGACCAAGGGCTGGGTGGATCGACTAGTCTTTCGCTTGGTAATCTTGACCACAGGATAAAGCCTTGAGAGCTTCATCGGGCCGGAAGTCGGGAGCTGGAAGATCAACCCGGTGGGTCTGTAGGGGTGTACAATACAATCTAAGCCTCAGACTATTGATAGATCCCTGCTCCAGCTACCTTTCAAGCCTCAACTGACGGTTCTCTGACACAGTGACTTTGGGGCTGGCAAGGCTGAGGATATCGAATGATTCATACCTTGGGCTTACGAAGATTATCTCCCAACGCCGCATCCTGGGAAGATCCATGCGGCCGCCTCGATCGATCGGCAACGGAGGGATTATGCGTAAGCTGGGTTGATTTCTTTCCAGCTCCACGGGGCCTTGACTAAAAATTCTCATGCCTTTTGCCTTGAGGGGATGGGATGGGAACCAGCAGCACAGAAAAGCTGTCATCGAGGCTACTCAATCGCATGGTGCCATGCGGTCCCACTGTGGCGGGGTCCAGCACTTCAGCGGCATTGGCCCCCACGCCCCACTCACTGCACCGAGGCCGTATTGTTGTAATGTGGTATCGTGGTATTGCTGTCTTATTATCTTATCGGACTAGATTATTGTTGGTTGTCCTCTTCTTTAAGCCTAAAGTATGCTACGGCGTACAATAAGTACGGCACGCTGGGGCAAGGCATTCCGAGATAATGCACCTTCTGGGAGCGAGACTTAGGGCAACCATATATCTGTTCTCTGCCTCCCATACCCTCACCCAGAGAAAACCAACCCAAAGAAAAACCCAATCTGTCCCCAGCCATGTCACCTCCCACAAATAACTATGCTCTGCACCGGAACTATCACTCCTCCGCGCGGTAAAACAGAACTCCACGGTCGCCTGGGCCTCCGAGAGGCAGTGGCATAAGACTGACTCCCCTCATCTAGGTTAAACGCCCAGAATCACCTCTGGAAGGATGCGCTGGGCTACAGCCTGCATCCGTGCATCGGGCTGACCCCCGACTCGGCCCCGCGCATCGCCGACATTGGCACGGGCACGGGCATCTGGATGATGGACGTGAAGCGCGAGTATCCTGCCGCGCAGATCGACGGATTCGACATCTCGTTCGCCCAATGTCCGCCGCCGGAATGGCTGCCGGATGGCGTCCGGCTGCGCGAGCTGGATTTGTATGAGCCGCTGCCCGCCGAGCTGGAGGGGATCTACGACGTGGTTCATCTGCGGCTGTTTTTTGTAGTGATTCGGAACGATGACCCGAGGCCAGTGTTGCGGAATATGCTGCGGATGCTGAGTGAGACTTTCCTTTCCTTTTCATCGATTGCTCCTAACTCCCTTCTTTTCGCGCACTCTCTCTAATCTTGGGGTGGAAAATACCATAGAGCCCGGTGGGTGGCTGCAATGGTCGGAACACAACTACGAGTCGTGGTCAGTGCAGTCGGTGGGCGGCCGGGAGACCCCCGCCTTGGACGAGATGATGAAGTTGATGAAACAAACGGGCCTGGGACGGTAAGCAACCCGATGCGCCATGCTAATCAATTCCCTGGACGCACAGGCACTGGTCCGGATCGATGCTAATTGAATTGCGTGCTTAGCTGGGTGCCCGGCCTCCCGGATCTCTTTGCGCAACATGGGATGGTGGACGTGCGCAAGGAACTGCATCCGTGCAGCCCGCACAGCCGCGTCTACTGGAGTCAACTCCAGTTCAACTCCAACGAGGAATACAGCTATCTGGCCATGGATAACAGTACGTCGGAGGCGGCCGGGCCGCGTCTGCGCACTCTTATCGGTCAGGCGGCGGACGAGTGTCGCCAGGGGGCGGGATTCGACTTTACCCTGGAGGTGGCGTTAGGCCGGAAGTCCGCAGGGGAGGTGTAGTTAGTCAATATAATATCAAACCAATAAGATAGGATGTGTCTGCACGTTTAGCACGTTTAGCACGTTTGGCACGTTCAACATAAGCACTAGTTCTTTTAGGGCGTGAAGACTATAGCGTACAGACTATAGCGTGCAGACTATAGTACGCGAACTATAGCCTAAAGAAATTAGCACATCAACCAGCACATTTAGGGCCAGGCCAGCCTAACGGAATTGAGGCAAAGGCCGGAGGGACCAAGGAATCAAACGAATTAAAAGTAAAATTGGAGAAAATGGTAGCTAAAACAGGGAACTTACGAGTAGATTCAGTATACGAAGAAGAATGTGTACCGTACAGTTAGGGCCGCGTTGATAAGGCTGGCGTATCGCCTCATCTCTTCTAGCTCCTCCCCCTCCCCCTCCCCCCTCCCACCTCCCCCAACGACCATCTGCTGCAAGCCTTCTCTGGTCCTTTTTTCTCTTTCGACAGACACGCATTATGACTAAAGAGACCCCCAGTCCGATGCTGGCGCTGGTCTGTCAAGTAGAGGCCGCCATCAACACCCCCGGCCAGCTACCCCCCGCCAGTGATGCCCTACACTCGCGATTACTCGCCGCGACGCGGAATCTCCTGACCAGCCTAGAAACCCCCGAGAGCCAATTGATGCATCTGGCCAAGGCAGTACGTTTTCCGCCTGCCCTCTGCCTAACTCCCGGGAGCTATGTCTAAATCCATCAGCCTGTGGCTCACGGGGTGTTGCGCGCCGCTCTGCGCATCCGAGTGTTCGAGCGCTTCGATGAGGGGCCTCCCACCGCTACGGATCTGGCGCAACGCTGCGGCATCGATGTTGCGCTTCTCGGTAGGTGATGGCGTGATTGGGATGGGAGGATCTTCTTTCGACTAATGACGAGGGGCGAGGCAGTGCGTCTCATGCGAACACTGGCCGCCATCGGCATCTTCACCGAACCCAGCCCGGGTGTCTACGCCCATTCCCGACAATCGCAAACTCTACGCCAGCCCCAACATCGGGCTGTGATCCAGGGCATGTGCGTGAATCTAACAATCTTTGCCCCTCTCGATGTTGCCTCTCGTGCTCATACATCGACCGATCGCAGGGCCGAGACCGCGACGCTGATGACGGCGCTGCCGGACTTCCTCGAGACTCACCAGTGGCAGAACCCGGTGGATGCGCAGCCCACCCTCTTCGGTTTCGCCCATCACACCGATCAGACTATGTTCGAGTGGCTGGAGTCGCAGCCCGAGCAGCGCGCCATCTTCGCTGCCTTCCAATCCAGCACCGCCGCCCTCGCTGTGTGCCAACTGCAGCCTTTCCTCCGCAGCCTGCTCACAGCATCCTCATCCTCAGAGGACCCGTCAGACGATGAATCTAGCGCGGTCACGCTCGTCGACGTGGGAGGCGGACGAGGCGCCGTGCTCCGCCAGGTCAGCGACGAGCTGAATCCGCCGCCGCGCGGTCGCATTGTGCTGCAGGATCTGCCCCAGGTCTTGAAGGGGGTGGACGGTGGCGAGCGCGTCGAATTGATGCCCTACAACTTTCTCCAGCCCCAACCCGTGCATGGTATTTCTCCCCTTGCATGAAAATGCGCCTGTCCCTTTCATTCGTTGACGAAAACAAATCCCTCTGCAGGAGCCCAGACCTACCTCTTCCGTCACATCTTCCACAACTGGAGCAATGGGGTGGTCGCGACCATCCTGCAGAACACCGTGGCCGCGATGGGTCCATCCTCGCGACTGGTCATTGTCGACCTGGTCCTGCCAGACGCAGGCGGCGCGTCACCCTACGCGGCCTTTTTGGATATGAGCATGATGGCATTCGGGGGCATGGAGCGCACCGAGGCGCAGTGGCGGGGGATCTTGGAGCGGGCTGGGCTGCAGGTCCGCCGCATTGAGCCGTTGGATGCGCAGACCCCGGGGTCGGACCACTTTATTGAGGCGGTATTGGCTTGAAAAATGCTTACATGTGTACGAAGAAACAACGCCATGTTGATATCAGTTCATTCCTCTGTATGTACAGGATAAATATTCTTGTGATGGTACATCGAAGCCGTTAACTAAACAGACCCCCCCCTCACACCAGGTTCTGTTTCACAAACGCAGCCACCGGGGCAGGATCGACCAGCCATGGGGAATGACCTGTGGGGACGGTGTCGGTGGTAATTTGGGCCCCCTTGGCGCGGGCCTTGTCTACCATCAACTGCTGCACAAACAAGGGGATGGCGCGGTCGTGCTCGCACAGCAGATAGGCGCTGGGGATCTGGGTGTAGGCGGTGCTGCGGGCGGGCGAGTTCTTGGTCGCCCAGGCGTGCGGACGCAGCGTCTGGGCCCACTTCTCGCCGTCGGGGACGTCGTGGAAGAAGAGGCTGTAGGGATCGACGGCGCTGACGGTGCCGTTGGCTTCCTGCGGCTGGGGTTAGCATCCGATCGGCTTCGCCAATGGACGAGACGATTGACTCACATCGCGGTCATACCAGTCGGGAGCCACCCCGCCAAAGGCTCCGATAAGACTCTCGCCAACCTCGGGGATGAAGGCCGAGATGAAGATCAATTTGGCCACTCCGCCGGTCACGCCCGCGGCTTGTCGCTCGGCCGTGCTGAGACCGTCCAGCGCGCTGTTCACGGGTAACCCGGACCAGCTGTGTGAGATGACAACCACCTCCTTACCCGCATTAGCCTCCTGTTCGACCAGGTTGCGGAGTGTGTCAATATCGGGCTGCAGATCTTGGACGGTGGCAGCCTGTTGGATGGAGGGGAAGGCAACGAGATGGGTGGTGTGGTCGGGGAACTGGGCGGCCAGGGGCTCAAACGCTGTGGGCGGATACCAAGCCCCAGGGCAGAAAATCAAGGTCGGATTCGAAGAGACCATCTTGGAGTGAGGGTTCTACACAGTGGGAACAGGATGCAGTTGGGTGACGAAGGTGGAAATTGGCGAGGATGAGGAGGAGGAGGAGGATGGCGTGGGTGGGCGGCGGGCATTTAATCAAGTAGGGCTAAATCAATTCCCCGCCAGTCAGCGGTTGTTGGCAAGCCAACCACCACGTGTATGTGTATTGCACTTATCGCACCTTAGCTTAATTAGCTTGGTTCTTTAGTCTAGTTAGTCTAATTACAGGACACAGTCTCATCACTTGCCAGTCCGTCCGCCTTGGCCCCATTCATGGGTCTCTTTGGGCCCATTTGGGTCCATTGAGGGGGGGTCCGTTCCGTGCCGTGCCATTCGCGGGCCTGTCCGACAACACCGGATTCAACTTGGGATCTAACGCAGAATCCCTTAGCTGCAGGGGCCAATCTGTTGGACTGACCTGGATTCGACTTGGGGGCCGGACAACAAGGCGTACAATCAGGGCCCACTATTGGTCTATCGAGGGGGGGCTGAAGTCAGAAACCCCGGTAATCTGCACATCAGACAATGGAACGTGGGAAGACAAGGTAAGATAGACATTCTGCACGTTTCCCCCATCCTTTCCCTTACCCCCCCTCTCATTTTCTCTCTTCTTTCCTCATTTTCTCATTTTAGAGTCTGTTCAATTTGTGGTCATCTTCGCGCCTTGGTCACCTTGGTCATTTTGGTCTTCTGGACCACCACGACCACCACGACCACCATGACCACCGCCTCTCTCTCCCAAAGTGCCCAGAGCCAGACCCTGGGCGCCATCATCCCCTTTGCCGTCTTATCCATCATCGCCGTCGTCCTCCGTTTGCTGGCCAAATCGCTGACTCGGCTGCGATTTGGCCTCGATGACTATTTAATTATCGTGGGATTGGCTTGCTCGCTGGGTTGCTTCAGTCTCTCCACCATCAGTCGGTTGCCCTCTTGTTCTATATCGTGCTGGAACCCTAGAGAGGCTCTGGTTCACTGACACGCGGGTCATTCAGTGGTGGGACTGGGATCGGGCCGTCACCTGGCTGTCGTACCCACAGGCAACATCCCCAAATACCTCAAGGTTTGTTTCTGCACTTCGCTGTCTCTCTGTCTAGCTTGCATGCAGCGCAGTGACTCATCGCTGATCGGGCGAATCCGCGGGTAGTGCATGTATGCGTACCAGATGATCTACACCGCGACTATCCTCTCCGTCAAACTGTCCATCCTCACCTACTACGTGCGCATCTTCCAAATCCGCCCTTTCCGCATCGCCGTCTACATCGTCGGTAGCCTGGTCGTGGCCTGGGCCGTCATCGTGTGGTTTATCTCCATTTTCTCCTGCCGGCCGCTGAACGCCTTCTGGGACAAGTCGGTGCCGGCCACCTGCGTCAGCAGCAAGGCATTCTACGTCGGGAACGCGGTCCCCAACATCTGCACCGATGTGATGATCTTGATTCTGCCGCTGCGCATGGTTTGGGGGCTGCAGACCACTCGTATTCAGAAGGTCACTCTGTCGGCTATCTTTCTCCTGGGAGGCTTGTTCGTTCCCCTTTCTCCCTTCCCTTCTGGGGACTTGTTAATGCAATTGCTGATGGATGGACGGGGCTAGTGTGGTGGTTTGCAGTTGTATTCGACTATCAACGCAGTTCAAAGTCGATGACCCGGATTTTACCTGTAAGTCTAGTTCGGCCAGTAGCAATTGAAAAAGAGCAGAAAAGCTTACACATCACCAACAGGGGCTATGAATGGCACCGTGATCTGGACCTCGCTCGAGGTCTCCTTTGGCGTCATCTCCGCCTGCCTGCCCACGATGCGTCCAATTGCCCGCTGGGCAATGCGGAAACTGAATATCGAGACCACGGACACTTCCAAGTCCTCCCAGCGCTATTTCCCTTCCAGCCACGTCACCGGGCGTGGGTTCGAGACTCTGTCGGGTTCCGGGGGCGACCCCCAGATTCATCAATTACACACCACCGCAGTCCGCAGTACCAGTCGGACGGAGAGCAATAATGGCGAGGAGCTGTTGCTGGGGCAGATTCAGGTTAAAAATGAGGTCCGATTCGAGGCCGAGTCGGTATAGGGCTGGCGGAGTTGTGAAGGTCTTTCTGTAAATAGTAGAATTTTGGATCAAGTGTGGTCGAAAGGCGTTCTGGTCTGCTTCCTCTACTAGCCCCGTAGTCTATTCACGCGTACACGGGGGTTTGGATTGATCCCCAGGCGTTTCGAATGAGACCCTCGGCGGCTCTGCAAACCGTCCGCCCGGAGAGGCGTGTCCACCTGCATACTCGGTATATTAAATGCCCCATTAATACACCATTATCTGACGCCAATTGGATAAGGGTGGGGCAGGGAAGGTGGCCTTGAGCCGTATGGCGAAAGCCGGCCCCTCTTGTGTGAGCCCACAGCCTATAAATCACACAACACCCCTCTCTCGCCTCTGCTCCCCTCAGTATCTCTGCGCAGTCTATTCTTGACCCCAATTATGCTTATTTCTCATTCTATCCCGTTGTGACTTTGACACAGACAACCTTTTCCTTTCTGTTCCTGCCAATGGCCCATCCTGTGTCCTACTACTTCTCGCAGCGGTGGCACACCACCCCGCTGCCTCGTCTGATCGACGAGCTCGCCGAACTGTGTCCGAACCAGCCGATGGTCTCCCTTCCGCGCAACAAGGACCAGCCGGCCGAAGGATACCGCGACTACAGCATCCAGGAGTTTTCCCGTGCGGTCAATCGCGCCGCGTGGTGGATTGAGCGGCATCTGGGACGCGCTCCAACCCGCTGGGCCACCCTGCATTATGTGGCGCCTCAAGACCTATCGTACTTCATCATCACCTTGGCCGCAGTCAAGACAGGATATCAGGTGAGCAGACGCAGATGCATCCCCTCACTAGAGTACAGCCTGGAAATCACTAACACTAGCGGTCGACGCAGACCCTGACGTGCCACCCCAGCGCCGACGTCGACACGCACCTGTCGCTCATGGAGCACACTGACTGCCAGCTGCTGCTGTATCCCCCCAGTGGACACACATCGGCAATACAGAAGGTCAACGCCATTCGGGCCTTCAAGTCCGGACTGACAGCACTCGTCACCCCGACGCTGGAGGAGTGGCTGGCTGCTGAAGGACCCACGACTCCCGTTTACGCTTTCAAGCCAACGTTGGCAGAAGTGCTGCACGATCCCTTCACCGTCATCCATAGCTCGGCCTCAACGGGGCCTGCCAAGCCCATTGTCTTCACACACGCCACCGTATATCTGCAACCGGTAGGGTTCCAGAAACTACTGGATCCGAGCCCTGTCAACTACGAGCAGTGGCGCGGCCAGCGCGTTGGGGTGCTGACGCCCCTCTCCATCGCTGCGGGCCTGTTCCCCTTCCTGGGCATGAACTTCTGCTTTGATCTGACTTTGGTTCTTCCCGCCGTGACGACGGGGCCTGGTCCCTCCATGAACGCGACGCTGATGGACGAGCTCCTGCAACACGGCGACGTCTTTGCCTGCATTCTGGGACCCAAGACCCTGCCCGAGACGTGCGCCAATCCGGCCTACGCCGCCAATCTACGCCGCGTGCGCCAGCTCGCCATCGTCGGCGCCCCCTGCCCGCCCTTCCTGGCATCGCAAATCACCGCGCACACCCAGATCACACACATCTACGGCTCCTCCGAGTCCGGCACGCTGCCAGCCGAGGTGCTGCCCGATCCGGCCGACTGGGCTTATCTGAAATTGAGTCCGGATGTACCGCATGCATACCGCCCCGTGTGCGGGCCCTACCACGAGCTGGTGCTGTTGCGACGTCCCGACGCCCCCGCCCAGCCCGTCTTTGCCATGTTCCGCGACTGTGACGAGTATCCCATGGGCGATCTGTTCGCGCGACATCCCACGCAGCCCGACTGCTGGCGCTACTGCGGCCGTCGCGCGGACCTCGTGGGTTCTCCGCCACGGCGTTTCCTGCCCCGCGACATGGAGTGGATGCTGGAGGCCCATCCCGCCGTCCGCTGGGCCCTGATCGCCGAGGAGCGCCACGGCGGCCTCGCCCTCTTGCTGGACCTCCAGCCGGACGCGAAACGTGCGCTTCCTCCGACCGCAAATATCTGGCACACTCTCCAGCCGCTGCTCGACCAGGCCAACGCCTTGTGCCCCATCCCCGCCACCCTCCGCCGAGACCTTGTAGTTTTTACCGACCCGTCTCGGCCCCTGCCGCTCAGCGTCAAGGGCAATCCACAGCGCGCCCGCTCCCTCGAGCTCTACCGGGCGGATATCGAGACAGTGTTCGGTTCGGATGACGGTGTTCAGTAGATGGTACGCTTTGGCTCTTCTTGCGACGTGTACCATTCATTTGACCACGGGGTGTGGCAATGAAGGTTTCCGGTTGCAGTGGACTTGCCACATTCATGCGGCCAACTGGAAGATCAGCCTTGGTGCATGTTGCTTTACGATCCGGAATCCGAAGTCACAAAATAGACGCCGGTGATTTCAATGCTGATACATGATGATATGACTTTTGCGAGGTGGTTCAGCTTATACAATGATATGATGTTCTCTAGGTCGGGTTGACGAACCCTAACTCACATCTAGTGATGAAATCATGTTAAGACAATCTTATTCCAGCTTATGCTTGCACTCCGTTCAAGCGGACTTTTCGCAAGATCGGAACTCTGTCGAGCAACGTGGTACCCAGTGCAGAAACGTATTGTTATTACAGAGCATCATCGTAGCGGCCGGTTACACGGGTTGCCCTTCATCATGTTGGAATGTGTCTTCATTGTCTAGCTCAGATGTTATGGAACTGCTGAGTCTTACGCCAAGTATTCTTCGAAGCACATGTGAAGACCTTACAATCTGTAGTGGCCGTGGACACCGCGATGCTGCCCCCGACTCATCCAACAATCTAACGCCCTCCCACTCGGATCTAAAAGGCCGGGTTGGCGTTCGTGAGCAACTGCACGAAATAGGCCTGCACCATAGCGCAATCAGTCAATCAACTCATCAACAAGCTTTATTATAAGAAGGACAACGTACCTGGAACCAGGTTCCCGCCTCAGGGGCCGGCTGCAAGGCATCGCTGTACCCGCAGTGGGCGTCGTAGCGGGTGGCCGAGCTATCGGAGGTGCCGTCGCTCTCGCCGCCGGGCTTCACCCAGACGAAGGCGTCGACGAGCGCATCGCCCGTGCTGGTGGTCGGGCGCACGCCGAACCCGGTGTTGATGACGTTGCACCAATCGCCCCAGGCTTGCTGACCGGTTGGCTGTTTGCCGTTGCGGCCTGCATATAGGATGGCATGTTAGCATGTCCAGGAAGGCAGGCAGGAGGGTACATACCGGTGTCGACGATGAAGTGGGCGTCGAAGCCCTGGGCTGAGAGGAGCGGGGCGATCGCGTTGATGTACTGCTGCTCGTCGCAAACGCTGTTGCCCTGGGTGTAGGAGGGGCAGGAGGAGATGGTGAAGGCGTTGTAGTTGGCGACATTCGTGGCCAGGCCGCGCACTGCGGCGGGGGAACTAGCGTTCTTGTAAACGCTCGCGTACAAGTTGGCGGCCGGTTGCTGGTTTGCGGGCCAGCCGAGCCAGCCGGCATGTCCTGTGGTTCTGGTCAGACTCTATGGCGTGGATAAAAGGATGATGTGCTGAGACGTTGGAAGAAAGGGGGGTCTGGGGGTTCTCCCCCAGGACGCTTTCAGGAGGAGATGCTATGGGTCGCGCGACGTATAGAGGGGACGCTTTGTGGGAAGGTGAAAGGAAAGGGGGTCTGGAGGTTCTCCCCCAGGCCGCCTTCAGAAGGGCCACTTACCGGCATCGAGATACATGGCCACGTTGGGGAGGTTCAGCTGCTCCAAGGCATAGTTGGTGCATTCGAGATAGGCGCTCTGGGCGTTGGCGCATTTGGCCACGTTGAGGTTGGTCACCAGGTTGGCGAGACTGTCGGGCTCAATCACCAGAATAGTGTGCACATCGGAATACTGCACGAGGACCTTGCGGATGGAGTCGATGTAGGCCTTGTAGTTGGCCACACCGTTGTTGGCAATGGAGTACTCGCCGTTACTGGCTAGAGCGGCGCAGTCACGGTCAGGGAGGTCGTACACCACAAATTGGCCTGCGATCGGGGGATTGGCTCCAGCGGCATTCTGGGCTTTGATATCGGCCAGGTAGGTGGCCATCGTCGGCACCTTGGCGGCCACATCCAGCCAGACGAAAGAAGGCACCTTGGCCGCGGCCGTGGCCGCTGCCTGGAGCGAGGAAAGCGTCCCAGTGAGAGATGGAATGGCCAGCGACGCCACTTCGGAGGAGTAGTATGGGTTCACGTAGAGCTGGTACCCACTGAACGGGTTGCCGCTCGCGCTGGCCGTGGTAGTCGCCGTGGTCGTCGCCGTGGTCGTCGAGACGGTGCCGGTAGAGGTCTTAGTAGTAGATGTCTGAGAAGCAGAGCTCTTGGTAGTAGTCGTCGTGGTCGCCCCGGCAGTGGTAGTAGTTGTCTTCAAGGTGGTAGAGGTGGCGCCCGCTGCTGGCGTACACTGCGCGTAGTCTAAAGACCATGGTCACAGGGCTGTCAAACACTCAGATCCACACAATACCTACATTCATTCACGGTAGAGCATGTTGCTCCTGCCACGCAGCTGGTGAGTCCGGAATAGCCCTGACCACCACATTGTCCGTACAGGGTTTGCTGGGCCTGGATTGCGCATGGCAGCAGCGCCGCTGCGAGAGACAATGTATAACGCATTTTGACACGAGAGACGAGAATCTTAAACAGTAGCAGTGCCTAGAGAAAGAGGATGGTTTGTGTTGCACTGCTTTCACTGTCCAGTGGACGGGGACGAGCAGGGCTTTATATGTCCAATTCCACGGGCTCACGGATTGACTGCCGCGCTTCCCTGGGACGAGGCCGTCTTCCGTGTCTGTTCCGACTCTTGGTTCTGGAAGATGAGGCTGGTCGGAATGACCAGGAAATTCAAGGTGCCCCGACGCTCACCCTAGGAAGCCCTACTCCGTTCTCGATCGGGATAGAGGTGCCGTCGGCAGTATATGCCTTGTCCCTGCCACATCTGCTGTGCAGGTATACCCTGGAGGTCAAGCCAAGAGAATGAATCCAATTATCGGACAGCATCGGTGGGTGGCGCTGAGACAATCCTAAACCGGCGCGGAGAGCACGCAGGGGGATCAAAGTTGCTTGAAGAAAGCTGCGTGCAACCCCACATTTCGGCAGTTGCAAATGATGGAATACGCAGGGTCTGTGGGGATAACCTTGACTGGTAGTAATTTCCAGTGACGGCGTGACGGCCCGTTCAGCCTGTATTGCCTGTATTCTCGCTACCTGCCTACAGGTACAGCAGCCGGCATGAATCCCATTTAGCCGGAATTGCTCGGTAAAAGATCCCGGGCCAAGGACTGGACAGGAGGCCATAGCCCTCTGCGCAACCCCCCATGGGTTACTCAATTCCGAGCATAGGTAGGTCACCTCAATGGTATGTTTGCTACATGCTCAATCAATCTCTTTTTTCATTCAGGGCCCCTCAACAAGCCTTAGGGCCCGAGACCGGCCCCAGATCCATGCTTGTCCACGTAGGGGAGAGATGGGCCGATGAAGACCCTTTAAGACAAATTTATTCGGTGATCATAGTTTCCCTCCGAATGGCATCATGATTGGTTCGACCAGGCTGGGGAGAGAAGATCTAGTCTACCCTGGCAACGTCTGGAGGCCTGAGATGGCGTTCTAGTCGACCGAATCGAGGGCTCGGCGAAGCAGGCGGCAGGCCCGTCTGCTGTGGCGACTGGACAATCTAGAATGATCTCCTGGTGCAATAGGAAGAGGGACAGACGAGACCGAGCGAGCTAATGATCTCGTCGAATAGGCATGGAAAGACATCTTTGGTGGGTGGTGGTGGTCATTGTGGCTGTGGCTGTGGCTCTGGCTGTGGCTGTGGTTGTGGTTGTGGTTGTGTGGATACATATACATATACATATGCTTCCATGCCAATGCAGTGTATGACGCGCATTGGACGGAAATCCTGAGGCCTGTGGGCTGGGAGTTCGGGCTCGCATCGAGCAGGTCCTTCAACATAAGGTAGTGTCTGCGGCGAGGATATGAATATGTGGGGTCTTGCAGAATATGCATGCATGTACATACGTGTCTCCGTGGCGTGCCCTAACCATGGTTCAGACTCCGCATCCGCATCAGTCGGCAAGCAGACAACCTTCAAGCCACCCACTCTGTCTTACGGTAAACTGTGATTTTGTTTCAGGTGCTGAAACAATTGCCTCGGCTTTTCCGACGCGATGCTAACTTGCTTCGTGGTGTCTTGAAATCTCAAGAAGATGGGCTCAGGGCCACAGTGGGTCACATGCTCTCCAATCATTCCTAGGGATGTGCTGACTCAGCGGACTGTCCTTTCTCCGGGCTTTTTCTTGCACATTTACTAGATAAGGTAGAAGAGTAACTTGCTATGTAAGTTGTAAGTAAGTTACCTTACAGCCCAGATGCAGGTGGTTCCAGGGGTAGTTCCTGATCAAACCAGTCTCGATCAGCGTCTGATAGTCTAATTTACTTAGCTACTGTGGATCAGTGGGTCCATTTACAATGCAACGCAACGCAGGCATCAGTGTCTTACAGCAACACGTGCCGTGCTTCCAGAACAACTTATATATTCACCGTCTCGCCCCCTCCACCCCCAGTCCTGCACCAACAACAGGGTATTATTGTTTTGATCATTGTATTCCCCCTGTCTGGCAACGGCAAAGATGAAAGAACTCTATCTTCTCGCGACATCCGCGCTCCTGGGCCTGACCGTGGCCGCCTCGAGCTCGGCCTCGACCCTAGGCCTGCTCAAGGCTGATGGCGGTAAGTCGTCTTCAATGCCGACAGATCATAGCAGATGGCAGATGGTCCAACTGACAGTGATTCAGTCTCCTTGGGAGATTGGGAGACTGCCTACGAAAAGGCCGCAGCCTTTGTGGGAAATCTCACCACCGACCAAAAGTTGGCCCTCATCACGGGCAGCAGTGTGACGGCAGCGGCGACCAACAAGACCTTCTCGGCCCTGACCTTTTCGGACGGGGACATGGGGCTGCAGGACTATTATTATGTCTCGGCCTTCAGTCTGGCCTCTGCCCTCGCCATGAGCTGGGACCGCGAGGTCTTTTATCAACAGGCCAAAGCCGTTGGCACCGAGTTCTACAAGAAGGGCCAGCAGGTCATCAATGGTCCCACCTCGCAACCGCTCGGACGGACGCCCTGGGGCGGTCGCATTGGTGAAGCCTTCGGCCCAGACCCCTATCTCAATGGCCTGGCCACCGGCCTGACGGTCAAAGGCTATGTGGAGGCGGGTGTCATAGCCGGGGCGAAGCATTTCCTGCTCAATGAGCAAGAGACCAACCGCACCGCCAACTCGTCGAGCCTGAGTCCCAATCCCGAGTCGGGTCCGCTTCCCTACTCCTCCAATACCGACGATAAGACTCTACATGAGGCCTATCTCTGGTCCTTCTATGATGCCGTCAAGAATGGCCTGGGCGCGGTCATGTGCGCCATGACCAAGGTGAACAACACCCTCAGCTGTGAGAACAATGATCTCTTGATGAAGCATCTGAAGACCGAGATGGGCTTTCCCGGCATGGTCTATGCGGATACCAAGGCTCAAAGTGGCGCCATCGAGAGCGCGTTGAATGGAGAGGACTATGGATCCAATTCCATCTGGACCACCTCGCTGATGAAAGCAATCCTCGCCAACGGGACGCTGAGCGAAGAGCGGCTGGATGACATGGCAATCCGGAACACCATCGGGTACTATTTCTCCCATCTGGACAACGGCCAGCAGCCAGCCCAGCAGTCTGAGGGAGCCTTCGTGGATGTGCGTGGCAACCATTCCAAATTGATCCGTCAGCACGGTGCTCAATCAATCGTCTTGCTCAAGAACGAAAGAAATGCACTTCCACTGAAGACTGTGCGCAAGATGGCCATCTTCGGGGCGCATGCGGGATCAATGACCGCTGGTCCCAACGGCGCCATCTCAATCGATGGCTCCGGACCAACCTACCAGGGTCATCTTGCGACGGGGTCCGGCTCAGGGCAGGCCTCCTACCCTTATCTAGTCACGCCCATGGTTCCCTTGACGCTCAAAGCCATTGAGGACGGGACCATCTTGGACTGGATCCTGCAGGACAATTACACCGAGAGCGCAGCGTCCTCGCAGATCCAACCCCAGGCGGATAGTACCTTTGTCAACCCATCTTACGTGAATCATGCTAGCAGTGCGGACGTATGTCTAGTCTTCCTCAACGCGCTTGCTGGGGAGGGCAAGGACCGCACCGAGCTCTACAATGCGGATCAGGACAAGATGGTGCAGACTGTAGCGGACAACTGCAACAACACCATTGTGGTGATTAACACCGTCGGACCGCGCTTGTTGGACCACTGGGCCGAGCACACCAACGTGACGGCTGTCTTGTATAGCTCCTTGTTGGGACAGGAGTCCGGTAATTCCATTGTCGATGTTCTTTACGGCGATGTCAATCCCTCTGGCCATCTGACCTACACCATCGCGAAGAATGAAAGTGACTATCCAGTCAAACTGTGCTACACGTCGCAATGCAACTTCACCGAAGGTATGTGGCAAAGAAAGAAGCGTTCCGGGGGAGTACCCCCGAACCCCCCTATCCTTTCAGCTTCCTAGAATCTACAGCCCTAACTTACATACCCACCCCGCAATCCCTACACTATCCCGATCCAGCCACTCCCCTCGCCCTTCCAATGCGCTGCTCCATCATATGCGCGAACACCGACTAACAGTGCGATAGGCGTCTACCTGGACTACCGTCACTTTGATGCCTATAACATCATCCCCCGCTATCCCTTCGGTCACGGCCTCTCATACACGACCTTCGACTACGCCAACCTCACCACTACGTCCGCATCCTCATCGATCTCCCTCTCCCGCGCCCCAACCGGCCACCGCGCCGTCGGCGGCTACAGCGACCTATGGGATACGGTGCACAGCATCTCCGTCACAGTGCGCAACACCGGCGCGGTGGTGGGCGCCGCCACCTCGCAGCTGTATCTCGGCTTCCCGGTCGCGGCCGACCAGCCGGTGCGCCAACTGCGTGGCTTCGAGCGCGTCCAGCTTGCCCCCGGCCGGCAGGCGACCGTTCATTTCCCCTTGCGCCGTCGCGACATCTCCTATTGGGATGTCACCGCGCAGCAGTGGCTGGTGGCTGCCGGACAGTACCAGGTCTACGTGGGTGCCAGTTCGCGCGATCTGCAGCTGAATGGCACCTTCACTGTGCAGACTCACCACTAGATCATCAGAATTTGGGTGATATTAGACTCGGAGGGGGGAGGGATGGTGCTTTCATCTTACTGCCTTCTTTTTTGAGATTTCTTTCTCTTCTTATTTGTCTTTCTACGTCGTGGAGCTTGTATTGCATCAGTGTATCAGTATAGTCTCTGGCAGCCTGTATACTATCTATAGAGATGTGCTTTGTAATGCTGGAGTTCCATTCATTCATTAGGATAGAGTATGGATACTTGAATGTCATTAAGCTAGTGTATTATAACTGGGCCTCAAGCACAAGATATAGAAAAAAAGTATTTGCCATCAACCGGTGTTGAAATCATCAGTGTATCACGCAGACTCGGCGAGACGGTGGTCTCATTGTCTCCGACAGGAACAGCTCGGCACTATATAACCTACAAGACCCGGTCGGTTGATGGAACTATAATCTTGTTGTATCTGTGTGTGCTGCGCCTCCATCTCCATTACCACACCCACCATAATCTGACGACGGCGTGAAGTGAGCGACCCCATTCCAATGCCGGATGCTGAATAATGGGAAAGGACAAAAGTCTCGACATGAATGCGGTGCTGCCCATCTAGCAAATTAAATCGACACAATGAAAGGTGATCAACAGTAGATCTACCTTTCTATGGAGTACTCGAGCTGGCAGTCGAGCTCGAGCTACTCGACGACGCAGTATCGTCCGGAGGCAAGGCAGTCCACTGCGAATTGTCTTCGGGCCTACCCCCATCTGCCCAGTAGGAGCCCGAGGCGCTGATCTCGTAATTCTTGGTGACATTGATGCCAAAGGACATCCACGCGAACAGGCCATCAGGGACATTACTGTCAAGATAGGCGTAGTCCACCACTGGATCCGCGCCGAGACTCGCCTCGCTCGCCAGGATCGCATCATCGGCATTCTTGGTCAACACTTGGGTGTTGGCTGTGTAGGGGTAGGTCTCCTCCACCGCCGAGATCAACTCCTGGTCGAAAAAGGCCTGCCCGACGTGTGTGACCCAGGTGGCGTTCCCCGAGCCTAGAGTGTGGTTCTTCAGCTCCGTGGCGTTGTGATGAATCAGGATGTGCAGATGGGTGGCTCTGTCCGTGTAGTGGCCAGGAAACAGAGTGTCGAACTGCACCACCCCATCGGCGTCGGTACGTTGAATCCCCCGCAGGAAGGTCGTGTCGATGTTGCCCAGATCATCAGTCCCGTCTCCATTGGCCGCGGCTACCACTCCTGAGTAGACACCCGTCGAGTTGCAGCTCCAGATCTCGAGCCAGACGTCCGACACGGGGTTGCAAGTATCGATGTCGACAACCTGCAGGTCGAGAGTGAGGGGAACTCCAACTTGGTCCTCGACCACATTCCGTCGGACTTTCTCGCCCGTGATGTAGTACTACCACGCCGAGCAGCAATTTTGCAGTCAGTCATAGTTCCAGAGTGGACTCGAGCACAGCACATTTAAAGCATAGGATGGGAGTAGGAGACGGCATACCGGTCCCTGCGTCGCCTCGGGCGTCAACGCACAGCTGGTGTTACTGGAGAAGACCGTCCTCTCGGCAGTTGTTGGTGTGTAGCCTAGGTCCGTCTCATTATGGGAGGTATCTAATACCGAATCCAGGTCACGCTCTATGGTTCATATCAGCAATTGTCAGCCTTCGATTGGATCTGGCATGGGTTAGGGCTCAGAGGCCGCAGCCGCAACCTACTTTGCTTCTTCGCATGAAGTGTGTGATACCGTCGAGCAAGGTTGCGAGACTCCACCCCACGAGCCTGGAGCTTAGACGCACAGTGGGACAGATCAGTCCGCTTGGATTGGGCCAGGAAGCCCCGACGATGAGCGAGTTCCTGGCTCATGTCATGCCCGGGATGAGCCACGGCCCCGAGCGGAAGAACGGCTATCGCCCAGAGACCAGCAATGCGCATTGTGAAGAACAGAACAGAGTGAGGTCGCGAGGCCAGGAGGTGCCGATTTATTGGAGAGCAGCATGCCCATGTCTTCTTTATATGAAGATTTCAACATGACATGACCGTCACCGTACATGAGGACTGGTTCGTCGAACAGGGAAGATGACATAATCGGGAATCTCCATTCACGCGAGACGTCGATCATTTCTGACCTCAGCCAGCAGAACCTAGGGCATATCGAGGGTGCCTAGATTTGCCAGTATGTTCAGCCGTATTTCCTCGATGCACAAATGCGATCAGCCAATCAGTGGAGACTTGAAAAACAGCTAGATGCATGCATGCATGAATGCATGAATGCACGTAATCAAGCGAGGTGCGATTGATTCGCTATCTTGTACTAACGTTTACCATGCATGTGGAGACTGGTCTAGATCCGCAAGTCTCCTGTCAAGATAGTAGGCTGGTCAATGGGCTGTCCCCCCACAATCGGTGTCTGCACGTCTTCGTCTCGGACGAACGACTCAACTATATTTTAGGGCGTGCATAATTTGGAGGTAGAGACACGCGTCCTACGCCCTTAACTCATGGCTAACCTGATGTTTGCACCGCTGTGCGAAATGAATGACGAGTACCCAGATGAGTTGGAAACGTTGACGACTGCGAGGCAGTACGTTGCCTTCCACAGCCAAGCTCCTCTGTCCATATACAAAATAGCCAAATCTGCATTTCGCTACATGAGCGGCTCATGCATAGATTTAGATTATGGATTCAAAGTGGAAAGGTGGGGAATCGGAGGAGCTGATATCCACCCAGGAGATGTGCGGAGCCAGGATTATTACTCCCACAATAGCTTAGGCAACTTGCCCAATCGAGCCCTAATCCGAGATGTCCGCGCCTATATAGATCTGCTATCCCAACCTGGAAGCTCCAGACTGACAAGACCTAGTTCTCGACTCTGTCATCTACCTGTCTTTCCTCCTCTCTTCGCTCCACTCGCTTACCATGCGGCCTTCCTGGTCCCACCTGGCGTTTGCTGCCGCGGCGACGGCTCCAGTTGCACCCTCACTGCACTCGCGACGATCGTCTGAGTCGTCGAGTTGCACAGACCCAGCTATACGTATCGAATGGAGCAACCTGGAGACATCGCAGCAGATCGCCTATCTTGACGCGGAGCGCTGTCTCTGGGACCTCCCTGCGGAAACACATCTCCCCAATGTCACCAGCCGGTACACGGATCTGGTGGCTCTGCACCAAAGCCTCACGGACTATGTCCACTGGGATGGGGTCTTCCTTCCCTGGCATCGATACTTGCTCCACACCCACGAAACCCTCCTTCGGACGCAGTGCAACTACACCGGCCCGATCCCGTACGTGAACTGGCTACTTGCATCTTCGCACTCATCTTCGTTTGCCAGCTGACCCAATGATTTCCTGCAGATGGTGGGACGAGCGCAAAGACGCAGGTGCGTTTCAGAACGCCTCTATCTTCTCTGCTTCGACCTTCGGGACCATCTCCGGCACTCCCTACAGCGGCATGATTGCGGATCAAGATGAGTCCGACTACATCTGCGTGACGGATGGGGTAACTCCCCTTGCATTCTTCATACACTTAATCATTAGCGATGTCAGGCCTTCCTGCTGACAGAATTTCTTCCCCACCGCTAGTATTTCGCGAACAGCACGCTGCACATTGGATTCGGGAGTGAAGAAACCTACCACTGCCTGTCCCGGGATGTCAACGAGGAGCAGAGTGCCTACACGAGCGAGGCATGGGTGGACCAGTGCAACGCCTATGGGAACTACACCGAAATGTTCAACTGCGTCTTTCAGTACCCTCACGGTGGCGGCCACAGCGGCGTCGGTGGGGTGATGGGCGATGTGTCCGGCTCCCCCGGCGACCCCGTCTTCTTCTTGCACCACGGCTTCGTCGACCGCAACTGGTGGGCCTGGCAGTCCGCTGATCCTGATAATCGGCTCTACCAGCTCAGTGGGTACACCACTGAGTCCGAGCCGGCCACCGGCTGGGTCAACGTCACGCTGGAGTACAATCTGACTTCGTATGAGATTCTTCCCGACGTGACTATCGAGCGCGTGATGGATACAGAAGGGGGGTATCTGTGTTATACATACGATGCCTAGAGAAGCGTGGAATTCGAGCTGAAAAGGTACGGGAGGAGTGAAGCTAGGGCGACAAGGGTTGATTGAATAAGAAGAGTAAAATGCCAATTTCGTCCTACAATCTAGTTATAGACGACGAGCAAAAACATACAACAGAAGGGATTCGCTGGTGGTCACCCACCCAACTACTAACCTCCCGGCGTGTGGCTTAAGTACGGCTGAGCGGACGGGAAGCCCTGTTTTCCACACCCTGTGGTCGTATGTGCTTGGTCCCATCGCAAAGAGACATATACCCATTGATATCGGTTGGTCTAAGCACTTGGAAACCTCTTCGTACTTAGTATAAACCGATCCTTTGGCCGATCCGATCCGATTCGATATACCAGACGATATATCAGAAACCAGTAGCTGACGACAGTATACATCAAAGAGAGTTTACAGTTCATCATTCCTGGCACACCGAGTAATGGAATGTAAATTAGGATATATAGATGGGCCACCACGACAGAACAAGAAATGAGCAAGATGCAGCACAAGAGAATTAAACATAATAGGCACCAGTGGCCCGTGACACATCGCCAATCGGCGAGGTCTACGCTCGAGCTCCGAGCCGATAAGGGAATCTTGAAATAGCAATGAGGTCGAGCAAAGAGAATTGGCGCGAGCCCAAGGTGTCTAGGCATGACATCAAGTGAACAAACATAGGAAAACAAGGTGTCGAGCTGGACGTAACAGCGTTGGTAATGCATTGATATTAGTGAAAAGAGAGAAAACCCGAATCGGGGAACTAAAGTCACGGCCGCGCGTGATCGAGGAGGAACTGCGTAGCCTCGGACCAGCCGGAAGCATCAGCCATTTCCAACACCGTCTGGCCGGCGTCGTCGTGCTGTGTGAGATCAGCGCCGCCGCCCTTCTGGACCAAGAGCTGCAGCAAGTGCAGGTTCCGGTACTCGATCGCCTGCATGATCGCGTTCCAATCCCGGTAAGTCTTGTTGGGATCGGCGCCCTTTTCGAGAAGGAGTTCAACCATAGAATAGTCGTCGTTGATGATACGACGAACCGCTTTGACGAGGGGAAGATGTTCACCGGGGGCATTGGGGTCAGCGCCCCCCTCTTCCAGCAGAAAGCGCACAATGTCAACGTGCCGCTCTCGTAACGCGGTCGTCAGCGGCGAGAAGACGCCACCGTTCTTATACTCGACACTGGCACCCGCAGCCAACAACAGCTTGATGCTCTCCAGCTGGTTGGCCAAGACTGCCAGCTCCATGACGCCCTTGTGGGCGGACAGATCGGGAACCATCGGGAGCAGTCGCTGCAGCAGCGCGGGCGAGCGTACCGCCATACACACCGGCCAATCTTGGCCTCGCTGATTGGGATCAGCCCCGTGGGCTAGCAGATAACCCAGCATCTCGGGCCGGTTTTCCCGGATGGCGGTCGTCAAGGCTGTATGTCCTTGGACATTGCGGTCGTTGACATTCGCCCCTCCGTGCTCAACCAGCCACTGCAGTGCTTCTGTGTTGTTGACTTGAACGGCCATCTCCACGATCCCCGGGGGTTGATGGAGATCAGCCCCGGCAGCCAGCAAGGCTGGGAGGTAATGGGCACGATTATGAGTGATACACTTCCAAGCCGGATACTCAGACGCCATGACGTTTGCATCGGCTCCATGTGCCAGCAGCAAGCTGACGATGTCGGACCGATCATCGCGAATGGCTGAGCAGAGTGGCGTGTAGATACCATCCTTCTTGGCGTTGGGATCGACCCCTACCTGTAGCAGGATGCGGACTGCTTCGATGTTATTGATGCTGGTGGCCTGCTCCATAAGGCCGGGAGTCTTCTTGATGTCGGCTCCGCCAGTAAGCAACACCCGCAAGCATGCAGGACGATAGATGGCCAGCCAGAGGACATGCTCAGGGCCGGGCAGGTTCGCGTTCGCCCCGTGTTTCAACAAGGCCGTGACCACGTTTACCTGCTCGCTCTGCACCGCCTCATTGAGGGCTGTCTTTCCCTGGCGGCCTTTGCGGTTCGGGTCACAGCCGGCCTCCAATAGGAGGCTCACGAGCTGGGGTGGCGCACGATGGTGGATCAGCTCGATCAGCGCTGTGCTGCCGTCGGGTGTCTCGTTGTCCGGGTTGCCGCCATGCGCGAGCAGCTGTTGCACCATGCTGATTTTGCCGTTTGCGATCGCGCGGCTCAGCGGCGAGTCCAGCCCCGACTCCGGGGCGTAATTGGCATCGGCGCGGTATTTCAACAACAAGGTCGCGCCATCCACAAAGGACTCTTCCACCGCCACGAGCAATGGCGTCTTACCCTCCCGATCGGGTGCGTTGGGGTTCGCCCCGAAAAGCAGGAGCAGCCGCATCCCCTCAAAGTCCCGCTGATGCACGGCCTCGTTCAGCGGATGAAGATGTTCTCCCAAGTTGGGTGACACTCCACTGTCCAAAAGCTGCTCGAGTAATTTGTGGTTTCGGCCCCGGACGGCGGAGGCTAGGGCGCTGCGTAGTTGGGTGGCACTGGCCGCGCTGGTCCGGCTGGGCGTGCGATGGGGCGGTCGGGGGGACGAATTGTACGCCCGGGTCTGCGTGAGGATCTCCCCATATGTATCGCCTTCGGGGGCCATGAGAGTCTCTGCACGAGACTCCCGCGAGCTCGTCCGAAGGGGTGGACTGTCAGGTCGTGGCAATCGTGGCAAGGGCTCGAGGGGGGGAGACGGGGGCAGATCGCGATCGTGGTGGTTCGAGAGGAGGAGGGAATCGAGCGAGAGAACGGAGGACAGGGTGTCATCGGGATTGGACTGAGGTGGACTGCTGATGCCCGTCGCCGATTGAACGAGGGGCTCCTTCGGAGGCACCGAGGGCACGGGCGATGAAGGCACGGAGGTCATCTGCGTGGCTACGCGTTCCAGGGATTTGGCCTTGTTGATGCCCATCACCGACCGACCTTTGGCCATGCGGTCAAGGGCCGCCGCCAGCCCAGCGTATCCAATGCCCACCGTTTCGGCCACCAAGGGCTGTTCCCCGAGAGTCCAGTGGAAGGCCAGAACACTGATCTGGAGCGTTTCGGTCGTCTTCTGGAGCGACTCGCGGATGCGGCCGAGCTCGTGGCTGGGGCGGTGCCATCCCCGCTGGAGCCTCCCCAGGGCGCCACGATGTTCGTATTGGATCAGTTTGGTGACAAGCTTGTCGAGATGCTGGAAATCGCGATAGGCGGCGACGAATTTCTTCGCCACCTCCTCCACGATGACCTCGGGTAGGGGGCGGTTGGCGGCGGTGGAATCGGTGAGGCCCGCGTCAATGGCCCAGAGAGCGCGGCAAGTGTCAAGGAAGGTCTGGGACAACTCGCGAAACCCATCGGGCAAGTCGTGGACGGTGCTCAGGTAGTCCAGCATGTGCACCGAGATGCGGTTCCCCAGCTGGGTGGCCTGGGCTGAGACGGCGAAGACGGCCTCCTGAGCAGCCATGAGCGTGAGAGCGGAGTCGCAAGCGGGAAAGAGAGCAGAAAGAAATCACTGGAGTCGAGAGGGCAGTCTTCGACCGGTTTTATTTGGGGCGGGCTCAAGGCCAGTCCAGGAGCGGATCGCAGGCTGGAGGATCATCGTGGGGGAGGGGACCAACCATGTGGCGGATGCAGCTGGCGACTTCATTTCCCCTTTCCTGGTTGAATAAATGACGCTAGACTGCGTGGACGGGATAATCAATCTAAACTTCGCCGGACCCAAAGGCTCTCGAGTGCTAGCTGGAAAGTCGGGTTGAGATCGACTTGGTTCGAGTGATAAGAGCCACCAGGCCCTGGCAGCACTGAAACCGGGCCCGCACTTCCACCGGGGCTCCTGGCCACATCGTGTACAGTGCGATCTGGATCGGGAGAGGGCAGGAACCAAGCCGCCTCCACATGGGTGAATCTAGATCCTGGGTGGGGTTCGCGTGCCTATCGCGGCACTGCACTGGGCTGGAATGCGCCGCACCGGGAAAACTGGGCCCGAATCCCCACCGTGCTGACCGAGAACTCGAGACGTTCATTGGGGGAGGAGGACAGGGAGGCGATTCATGACTCTGTGGTAGAGTTGTAGCCTGCACGAAGTGTGTGTGGGACTCTAGGTACATCCTCCGTAGTGTAACGGGATTTGCGGTAGTTTGCGCCAGGCAGCGTGGAAACAGGAGGGCAGGCAACTGAGAGGCCGTTGTCGACTCAAAGACTCAAAAAATGGGTTCGTCCGCTTGGCAGGGCGTTGAGCCGTGTGATGGAACGCCGATCGCATCTCAGGCGATGATGAAATGTGATGGTGGTCTCACCATGGTTGCATCGCGGTTGTTGAAGGAAGAAGGGAAGATTTCGCCGAGGTTCTTCCCACCGGTCGAGGAAGACCTTAGTAAGCACTACCCACGGAACACGCGGTGTGCGTCACGTGCCGCGTTGCCTGCTTTGCACCTTTTGCACCTTTTGCACCTGTTGCTCCTGTTGCTCCTGTTGCTCCTGTTGCTCCTGTTGCTCCTGTTGCACCTTTTGCACCTTTTGCACCTTTGGCACCTTTGGCCCCCTTTGGCCCCTTTGCATCGGGGCTCGCTCCGCCCCGATTTCAGAAGGTGCATTAAAGCCCCCGGACCCTGAGTACTTCCTCCCTAATTTACTAGTAGAAGCGGACTACACTTTGCCTAGATCAAATCATTGATCACCGAGCTATCGGAAATATCTGTAGGAGTGCATGGGCTTACCCAGTGAGCTGCTCTCGTCAATGACGGGATTGGAGGCTGCTACGCTATGTCGCCCCGAATATATATTTCCTCGTGACGGTCGCGAAAGGTCTCCGACATGTACTCCGGTGCCTTACACTCCATCTTTTAAGACAATGCACGCTCGCGCGAGCATGACGGATGGATCAATAATTGAAGATTGGTCAAGATAGATACAGACAGAATGGTAAGAGCTTAGTTGCCGAAGCTGAACTCGGGGATGCTGATGGTCGACACCGTCCAGGTCTTGCCACCGTCGGTGGTGGTCATCTCGCCCGTCACCCC